ACAGTAGACGTTCCCAAGGAGCATCTACTCTACAGTAGACGTTCCCAAGGAGCATCTACTCTACAGTAGACGTTCCCAAGGAGCATCTACTCTACAGTAGACGTTCCCAAGGAGCATCTACTCTACAGTAGACGTTCCCAAGGAGCATCTACTCTACAGTAGACGTTCCCAAGGAGCATCTACTCTACAGTAGACGTTCCCAAGGAGCATCTACTCTACAGTAGACGTTCCCAAGGAGCATCTACTCTACAGTAGACGTTCCCAAGGAGCATCTACTCTACAGTAGACGTTCCCAAGGAGCATCTACTCTACAGTAGACGTTCCCAAGGAGCATCTACTCTACACTAGATGTTCCCAAGGAGCATCTACTCTACAGTAGATGTTCCCAAGGAGCATCTACTCTACAGTAGAAGTTCCCAAGGAGCATCTACTCTACAGTAGATGTTCCCAAGGACCATCTACTCCACAGTAGATGTTTCCAAGGTGCATCTACTCTACAGTAGATGTTCCCAAGGACCATCTACTCTACCGTAGACGTTCCCAAGGTGCATCTACTCTAGAGTAGACGTTCCCAGAGGACATCTACTCTACAGTAGACGTTCCCAGGGGACATCTGCTCTACAGTAGACGTTCCCAAGGAGCATCTACTCTACAGTAGACGTTCGCCAGGACCATCTACTCTACAGTAGACGTTCCCAAGGACCATCTACTCTACAGAAGATGTTCCCAAGGACCATCTACTCTACAGTAGATGTTCCCAATTACCATCTACTCTACAGTAGACGTTCCCAGGGACCATCTACTCTACAGTAGACGTTCGCAAGGACCATCTACTCTACAGTAGACGTTCCCAAGGACCATCTACTCTACAGTAGACGTTCGCAAGGACCATCTACTCTACAGTAGACGTTCCCAAGGACCATCTACTCTACAGTAGATGTTCCCAAGGACCATCTACTCTACAGTAGACGTTCCCAGGGACCATCTACTCTACAGTAGACGTTCCCAGGGACCATCTACTCTACAGTAGACGTTCCCAGGGACCATCTACTCTACAGTAGACGTTCCCAGGGACCATCTACTCTACAGTAGACGCTCCCAGGAACCACCTACTCCACCGTAGACGTTCCCATGGACCATCTACTCCACCGTAGACGTTCCCATGGACCATCTACTCCACCGTAGACGTTCCCATGGACCGTCTACTCCACCGTAGACGTCCCAAAGGACCATCTACTCCACCGTAGACGTTCCCAAGGGCCATCTACTCTACAGTAGACGTTCCCAAGGATCATCTACTCTACTGTAGACGTTCCCAAGGACCACCAACTATACAGTAGACGTTCCCAAGGAGCATCTACTCCACAGTAGACTACCCGATAATCATCTACTCTATAATAGACTATCCTATGGGGCATCTACTCCACATTGGATGACCTAGTAAGCAATTGTTTTTCACATTTCTTACTTTAATGATGCGAAAATAACACCAACAACAACAATATCGAATTGTAATGAAAATCACAATAACCAAATTGAAAATGAAATTATTTTGCGCCTCAATAATTCTATTTAATCCGGCTCAATTACGAATGCCAAAATGAAACCGCATAGCAATAACGAATCGCATCTTCCCAGCAATGGAGGCCACCACATCCGACGAAAGTTTGTTTTTTTTTTCAGATGATGATGATATTGGCCTTGTTGGCAGCTAAGTGGGTATTTTGACATATAAACATAGACATACATACGAACACACACCCGGACATATCCATAATATGGGATGTAAGGCTAAATGGATAAGCCAATAAAAAATAAATGTTATTGCCTATTGCCAGACGACGAGTTTATCTTCATTTTTTTTTTTTTGATTTTTTTTGATCGGAAATACCCCTCCAACGAATTTGTTTCATAACAATACTTAGCTGCAGCCTTAAGTGTATTTGAGAAGGAATTTCTCAGGCATCCTCCAAATTCCATTCCCAATTATGGCTTGGAGGCATTCGATTCCTTGATCTGTGTTGCAGCAAAAAATAGAAACAGATTCATTTGAATGCCGTAATCATCAATTAAAGCGTAATCCAAAATTTATCAGCCATCCCTCCCCACACCAGGAGACCAATTATGTCATTTCTCTCTCCCTGACGTGGCGTGGACGTATACGTAATGTGAATTTGGGCAAGAAATTAATACGTATACGCATGCACGACTTTAAAAAGTCGATGGAAATGATTTGATTTATCCCTGCATTGATTAATAAATTCACACATACACACACACACACATAGCTAGGCCTTTCAAGCTTTCATTTGTGACACAAGGCCGTTGTGCTCCTCTCCATAGTGTCTCCTACCTCTCTACTCCCCCCGTCCATGGCCACATTCTAAGAAATGCATAAATAAGACAAAAATTGTTCAACACCCTAAAGAGTCGACTAAGTATGTGAAACTGTTCTTCGACACACCACCTCCTCCCTCTCCTTCACCTCCTCCTCATCCTCCATCGCATTGAGATATGCGGAAATGCTGTTGGCAGCACAAAACAAACCTCGATGCTAGGCAAAACTTATTATCAGGAAGAAACCATCTAATTTATAAAGGATGGCGATAATGATACACTCTGGCGAACACACATATATATAATACACCAGTAATATTGTAGATATGTATATATATAATATAAAGGCCTACACTCATACGGATAATGAGAGATGCACACACACATGAGAATGTTATTCTCGAAGAAAGGAGAGTGTGTGTGAGCGAAATATACGAGGTGGGTAGAGTGAAGTAATGAAAAGGAAAATTGGATTGTCAATTTTGGAAATGTATTTTTGATGGAACCAATGGACCATCTAAGAGTGGACATCTACTCTACAGTAAATGTTCCCAAGGACCATCTGCTCTACAGTAGATGCTCCCAAGGACCATCTACTATACAGTAGATGCTCCCAAGGACCATCTACTCAACAGTAGATGTTCCCAAGGATCATCTACTGTACAGTAGGCGTTGCCAAGGACCATCTACTCTACAGTAGATGTTCTCAAGCGCCATATATTCAACAGTAGATATTCTCAAAGGTCATCTACTCGACAGTAGATGTTCCCAAGGACCATTTAATCAACAGTAGATGTTCCCAAGGACCATCTACTCTACCGTAGATGTTCCCAAGGACCATCTACTCTACCGTAGATGTTTCCAAGGAACATCTACTCTACAGTAGATGTTGCCAAGGACCATCTACTCTACAGTAGATGCTCCCAAGGACCATCTACTATACAGTAGATGCTCCCAAGGACCATCTACTCAACAGTAGATGTTCCCAAGGATCATCTACTGTACAGTAGGCGTTCCCAAGCATCATCTACACTACAGAAGATGTTCCCAAGGACCATCTACTCTACAATAGACATTCCAAAGGTCCATCTACTCTCCCGTGAAGTTCCCAAGGACCATCTATTCTACAGTAGATGTTCCCAAGAGCCATCTGCTCTACAGTAGACGTTCCCAAGGACCATCTACTCTACAGTAGATGTTCCCAAGGGCCATCTACTCTACAGTAGATGTCCCCTAAGGGCCATCTACTCTACAGTAGATGTTCCCAAGGACCATGTAATCTACAGTAGACGTCGCCAAGGACCATTTACTCTGCAGTAGACGTCGCCAAGGACCATCTACTCTACAGTAGACGTCGCAAAGGACCATCTACTCTACAGTAGACGTCGCCACGGACCATCTACTCTACAGTAGACGTCGAAAAGCGCCATCTACCCTAGAGTAGACGTTCCCAAGGACCATCTACTCCACCCTAGACGATCCCAAGGACAACATACTCCACAATAGACGTCATTTAGGGCCATCTGCTCTACAATAGACATTCCCAAGGTTCATCTACTCTCCCGTGAAGTTCCCAAGGAAAATCTACTCTACAGTAGATGTTTACAAGGACCATCCACTCTACAGTAGATGTTCCCAAGGGCCATCTACTCTACAGTAGATGTTCCTAAGGACCATCAACTCTACAGTAGATAATCCCAGGGACCATCTACTCATCCGCAGATGTTCCCAAGGACCATCTACTCTACAGTAGACTTTCCCAAGGACAGTCTACTCTACAGTAGATGTTCCCAGAAACCATCTACTCTACAGTAGATGAGTTGAACGATCGTCTACATGTGAAGATTGCCTACATTTGAGTAGATGACCCTCAGGATCACCTACAATAGAGTAGAGGACCATCAGGGCAGTCTACAAAAGAGTAGATGTAGCCTGTGACCATCTACATCAGTGTAGGTGTAGCCTGGGACCATCTACATCCGCGTAGATGTTGCCTGGGACCATCTACATTAGTGTAGATGCCGCCGGGGGTCACCTACATTAGTGTAGATGTCGCCTGGAACCACCTCGATGTCATCTGGGGACATCTACTGCACCGTAGACACCCTCGTTTGTCATTTACTCCAACGCCGCTACTAATTTCCCACCATCCCTCCCGCTCTCCTCATTTTCATCCATAAATCTCCATTTTATTATTCCTTACAACAATTATTTTGCAAATATTTCACCTAACCATGACAACCGACGACCAAGCATCCTGGGCAAAACAAAACCAGCAACATTACTTACTTACTTAATATTATCCTGGCGTGCTGCATAAATGAATCATGAAAATCATTTCACTTTTGTGGTCATTATTTATTTCACTCGGCTAGAGATTGGAAATTTAAGGTTATGGATGTTCACTTCAATTACAGGATTCGGATTATTTATGAGAAATTAAAATAATGTAACAAATATGAAATGGAAGGGTATTGAAGGAGAGAGGATGGTGATGAAGATGATATTGAGGGAGAGAAGCAGAGTAAGGAGTTTACTTCTAAAGGATTTGATTTATTTAAAGTATTCTTTTGCATTATAAAGGATTATGCCTTCAGAAGAAAAATATTTTTTAAGTCATACCTTGAAGTCAGGACTTTTTCAGTTTACCTATTATCCGAATACTTGATTGAATTATTTTATTTTCTTTTATTTCCAATTTTTTTTTTTAAATATTGAATATTATTTTTAACTTAAAATGCCTCTTAAATTATCCTGTGATTCGAAAGAAATTCATGGTGAAATCCCCAACAACAATGGAGAGTGTCATCCTTTCAAATTCGCCCAGCGTTACAAATATTTCCGAAACATTGATGGAAATTTCAAGCATTTTCTCTCCAAAGAAGCTACAAATGAAGGTGTCAGAAAATCGGATACTTTGGATAAATCTGTGGCACTAGAATCATCCAAAATCGCCACTGCTTTAACACCCAGACCCTCGAAGAACGATTTGGAAGCTGAGTTGAAACTGAAAACTCATCAATCTACACAAACTCCAGAGGCACTGGGATTCTCGCAGCCTGTAGTCACTCCAAAGGAGGACGTATTTGAGAAAGTTCCTCCTCTACCAAAATCCCCAAATTTTAGGAGAACTCCCTCATTTTCTAAAACTGCCAAAGCTACTGAAACATATGGAACTTCCTTGCCCTCAAAATCCACACCGAAAAATATCCCACCCCTAAAAGAACCCCCAACGAAAATCTTCTCAAACAAAAAATCAAAACCCATAACTCCTCTCTGGAAACCATCGGCTTTGAATTCTTCCAAATCACATAAACGTCGAAATTCATCCCATAACCTTAAATCATTGCCATTTTCCTATGACCTATCCTCGGATGAACTGAAGGCCATTGATAATATCAAACAGCCGATGAAACCACGAGCAAATGAAGTCTTGGCGTGTCTAAAAGCTGGCGAAAGATTGGAATATCTAAGGCAAAGGTATTTGCAATCTCCGGAGGATAAATACAATTATCCGGAGGCCACATCGTGGCGTATTGGATGGTTGGTTGCAACGTGATTAGTGAACAAAGGGTTGGATAATAAAAAATAAAAATAAATGTGAAATTTTTCAAAAAAGGAAAGAAAATAGGAATTTCAAAAAAGGATATGGAAAGTCCTGCAAGAGTCTACTATTGTATGGCAGACGACTCTGAGGTTCGCCTAGTCTTTTGTAGACGAGGACCATCTACTTTATCGTAGATGTTCCCAAGGGACATCTGCTCTACAAAAGACGTCACCAAGGGCAATTTACTCCACAGTAGACGTTCCCAGGACCATCTACTCTTCAATAGACATTCCCAATGACCATCTACTCTACAGTAGACGTTCCCAAGGACCATCTCCTCTCAGTAGAAGTTCCCAATAGCCATTTACTCTTCGGTAGACATTCCCAAGAGAGATCTACTCTACAGTAGACGTTCCCAAGGACCATCTACTCTACAGTAGACGTTCCCAAGGACCATCTACTCTACCGTAGACGTTCCCAAGAGCCATCTACTCACAGTAGACGTTCTCAAGGGTCATCTACTCTACAGTAGACGTTTCCGAGGATCATCTACTTTACAGTAGACGTTCCCAAGGACCATCTACTCTGCAGTAGACGTTCCCAAGGACGATCTACTCTACAGTAGACGTTCCCGGGGACCATCTACTCTACAGTAGACGTTCCCAAGGTCCATCTACTCTATTGTAGATGACCCTAAAGGTCATCTACTCTACCGTAGGCGTTCCCAAGGACCATCTACTCTACAATAGACGTTCCCAAGGAGAATCTACTCAACAGTATACGTTTCCAAGGACCATCTACTCTACAGTAGACGTTCCCATGGACCATCTACTATACAGTAGACGTTTCCATGGACCATCTACTCTACAGTAGACGTTCCCATGGACCACCTACTCTACAGTTGACGTTCCCATGGACCATCTACTCTACAGTAGACGTTCCCGAGGACCATCTACTCTACAGTAGACGTTCCCAATGACCATCTACTCTACAGTAGACGTTCCCAAGGACCATCTACTCTACAGTAGACGTTCCCAAGGGCCATCTACTCTACAGTAGACGTTCCCAAGGGCCATCTACTCTAAAGTAGACATTCCCAAGAACCATCTACTCTACAGTAGACATTGTCAAGGATCATCAATTCTACAGTAGACGTTCCCAAGGACCATCTACTCTACAGTAGACGTTCCCAAGGACCATCTACTCTACAGTAGACGTTCCCATGGACCATCTACTCTACCGTAGACGTTCCCATGGACCATCTACCCTGCAGTAGACGTTCCTATGGACCATCTACCCTGAAGTAGACGTTCCCAAGGACCATCTACTCTGCAGTAGACGTTTCCAAGGACCATCTATTCTGCTGTAGACGTTCCCAAGGACCATCTACTCTACAGTAGACCTTCCCAAGGGCCATCTACTCTACAAAGACGTCGCCAGGGACAATTTACACCACAGTGGACGTCCCCAAGGGTCATCTACTCCACAGTAGACTACCCGAGAATCATCTACTCTATAATAGACTATCCATCATTAGATAACCTAGTAAGCCATTTTTTTAATTTTTTTTTTTTTATTTTTTTTTATTATTTTTTTAATTTTTTTTCCTTTAATGATGCGGAAATAACACCAACATCAGCAGTCGATTTGTAAGGAAAACCGCAATAACCATATTGAAAATCAAATTATTTTGTACTTCAATAATTCGATTTAGTCCGTCTCAATTACGAATGCCAAAATTAAACCGCATTTCAATAACGAATCGCATCGCGGGTCATACAACAAAAGTCATCTACATAATTGTAGACAACCCTAAGAGTCATGTCCTCACTTGTAGATAACCTTAAGGGTAATCTCTACTGCAGACGAGCTAGTAGAGATTACCCTTGTCATCCCTTGATAGCTTTAAAATATGTGTCCCTTCGGCCCACAACTGTAAGTAGCGAACTCTAAACCCTGGCAAAAGAAAGGACAACGTTTTTTTCTTTTTGTTTCTGCTCCTTGATGTCGTTTTCTTCGCAACTTGTTATATTCATTATTATTTTTTAAATATATTTATTATTTTTTTTTTTTATAAACAGTTCTTAGACCTAATTTAAACTAAGGTAAACCTGTTCGTTTTTTTTTTTTTTCTTTTCTTCTAAAATTTAAGCAGAATAAATAATCATGGCTAGGTTCGTATGATGTCATCATATACAGATATATATAAACTTCATTGATTTGTTTTTCTTGTTTTTGTTTTTTGGTTTATTACACATAGTATATATAAAAAAATATCTTTATTATCTTGTTCTGGATTTAGTAGCAGCATCAGCATTCTTGTTTCAGTTTTTTTAATTAATTGCATACAAACACTGTTTTACATTGCTGTATTTTTTATCAGAAATTTGTGCTAATTTGGGGATTTGAAATAAAAAAAATTCTTATTTTAGTTAAGACTTCAAAGAAAAAAACGCCAAAACGAACTCGCAGAAAACTCCATGGAAAGTTAGGAAATCAGAAAGAAATAAAAAGAGAATGTGTTAATCATTACAAAATAATAATATTTAGAAATCACTTAAAACAGCCTTCGTTTCATTCTATTTAATTGGTTTTTAAGTTTCATTTTTTTCTTTTTAAATATACAACAAACAGTAGTAGACATTCATTTTATAAAAGTGGAAGAAAAAAGGGAAATTAAAAAAAAAAGTAAAAAAGGAATTATTTTTCTTTTTTATAAATAAAAAACAAAAAAATAGGGGACTTGGGTGGTGGGGGGGTTTTGACATTTTCAAACTATAAATAATAATCGTTTGTCATTTAAGGTACTATTAAGTAGTTGTTGTTTTTCTTATTTTTTGTAAATAATGTTCTCTTTATGAAAAAGCATAAGTCGACATTTACGATGTTGTAAAAAAAATGGGCTTAACAAGGAATTAAAAATACCCCATAAAAAGGGGTGGGGAGGAGAGGAGAGGTTTTAACTGCTTTGGAATTAAACTAACACACAGACACCCAGTGTAAACTGCAAGGAACGGTGTTTGGATAACCTAGTAAATTTTAAGCCGAAGCCGAACACACAAGAATAGGGTAATTTCTTTCCGTAGTTGAAGATCGTAGTTTTTAGTTCCTTTCGTTACTAGGTTTATTGTCCATGTTTGCATTGTTAGGTTTCTCCTTATCCTCATCGAGTCATATCATTTTATCCTTGGTGTTTGTGGGTGTAGTTTTGGTTGTTGTTGTCGTTGGTATGCTGGGCGGTATGGCCGAGCTAATATCAGCTTTAGGTAAGATTTTCTCCTTTTGTTTTTCGGCGGCATCCAACAGGGCTGCATCCGCGGGTTTTGTAGAGCTCTAAAAGCATTCGAAAAAAAACAATTAATATAAAATTTAAACCAGTTTTCACATCTTTATCTTACCTCGCTGGCCTTCAAAATATTCTTGCCATCCAAGGCATCCAAATCCAAGGCATTTTCCTTGACCACCTTTGCACAGTCCCTAAGATCTTCTGTTAGAGGATTATTCTTGGCAGATGCTGCCGCAGCATCAGCAATTTCTTCCGCCAATTTCTTGACATTATCTGCCTCTTTTATACTCTTGGCCAGGGCCTTTTCAATCTTATCCTGAGTCTCGATAACCTGTTCCTTGTCCAGCAATGAAATCAGTTCTTCCAATTGTTTTTCATCCAGTTTTACATTTTCCCGACCAATGGCTTCAATGACCTGTCAAATTGGGAATTCAATTATTATTTTTTTCTTGGTGCTGGGGAGAAATTGTGGTGGCGGACTTACCTTGAGAACTTCATCGACAGAAATGGCACCATCTTTGTCTGCATCCAATTTACTGAGGACATTTTCGATTTGTTTAAGTCTGGACTCATCGGAGGTTTGTTTTAACTAAAAGAAGAATAAGAAAATAATATGAGCATTGAGTAGATGTCGCAGGGGTGGTCTATTATAGGGTATATGGTCTTTAGGGTCGTCTACAATAGAGTAGATAACCCTCAGTGTCGCCTACAGAAGAGTAGGTCACCCTCAGGGTTGTCTACAGTAGAGTAGATTACCCTTAGGGTCGTCCACAGTAGAGTAGATGGACCTCAGGGTCATCTACAATAGAGTAGAGTAGATGACCCTCAGATGACTGGTCGCCTAAAATAGAGTAGATGGACCCTCAGTGTCATCCACAGTCGAGTAGCTCACCCTCAGGGTCGCCTACAATAAAGTATATGATCTTCAGGGTCATCCACAGTAAAGTAGGTGACACTCAGGGTCTTCTACAATAGAGTAGATGACCCTCAGGGTAATTCACAGTAGAGTAGGCGACCCTCAGGGTCATCCACAGTAGAGTACCTGACACACAGGGTCATCTACAATAGAGTAGATGACCCTCGGGCCATCCACAGTAGAGTAAATGACCCTCAGGGTCATCCACAGTAGAGTAGATGACCCTCAGGGCCATTCACAGTAGAGTAAGTGACCCTCAGGGTCATACAATAGAATAGATGACCCTCAGGATCATCCACAGTAGAGTAGATGACCCTCAGGGTCATCCACAGTAGAGTAGATGACCCTCAGATGACTGGTCGCCTAAAATAGAGTAGATGGACCCTCAGTGTCATCCACAGTCGAGTAGCTCACCCTCAGGGTCGCCTACAATAAAGTATATGATCTTCAGGGTCATCCACAGTAAAGTAGGTGACACTCAGGGTCTTCTACAATAGAGTAGATGACCCTCAGGGTAATTCACAGTAGAGTAGGCGACCCTCAGGGTCATCCACAGTAGAGTACCTGACACACAGGGTCATCTACAATAGAGTAGATGACCCTCGGGCCATCCACAGTAGAGTAAATGACCCTCAGGGTCATCCACAGTAGAGTAGATGACCCTCAGGGCCATTCACAGTAGAGTAAGTGACCCTCAGGGTCATACAATAGAATAGATGACCCTCAGGATCATCCACAGTAGAGTAGATGACCCTCAGGGTCATCCACAGTAGAGTAGATGACCCTCAGGGTTATTCACAGTAGAGTAGATGACCCTCAGGGTCATTCACAGTAGAGTAAATGACCCTCAGGGTTATCTGCAATAGCCCTCAGTATCGTCCACAATAAGCTAGATAAAAATTAAGGTATTCGATCCATTAGTCGAACCATGGAACCTTTTAGTGTCTTCTTTAAACCTTTTACTTCTTACCTTCTTAATCGTCTGCACTAGATCCTCAATTTGCACAATATCCTCCTCCAAGGACTTGGCCTGCATTTCCGCACGCTTCAACTCCTCGGCACTCACGTCCGTTGGCAGTGTCTGTTCCTTTTGTTTCTTTTCCAAATCGTCCAACACCTTATCCAATTGGCCAATCATGCTATTAACCTTCTTGAATAGCATTTTGGCGGCACGACTTTCGCGTACCGGTTCCTTGACAACCTGTCGCACTTCACGCAACTCTTCCACATCTTCTTTGTATTCTTCGAGTTCTTCTTTAAGGTCTTTGATGGTTTCTTTTTCGACAACCATTTTCTTGTCACTCGAAAGGGATTTCAGGGCTTCGCTCAACAATTCCACATCCTTGGAGGTGAGAGTGTTCTCTTCGGCCTCCTGGGCCTTGGCGGCCACATCTTCTTTGGTCTTTTGTTCGGCAGCGGTGAGGACCACAGGTTTGGGTTTCACAGCAGCCGGGGCGGCGGTGGCGGTGTCTGTGACATCGCGGGCCGTATCCACCATGCTGGCTTCGGTTGTGACATCAATGGTGGCAGCTTTGTCGGCTGCAGCAGCGGCATCCACCAACACCTTGTCGGCGGCCTTGGCCTTTTCTTCCTCCTTCTCCTCTTCCATTTCTTCTTTGATTTTGCGTTCCTCTTCCTTGATGATTTGAATTTTGGTCTTGTTATCGATTTTACCCTCACGTTCACCAATGGCAGCCTTGGTCTGGGCAGCCAAGGAGTCGGGTAACACTCTAATGGTTTCCTTGAGCTTGTCTGTGGTAATGGTATCATCAGAGATGAGCATGGTACGGGATAGTAAAAGTAGTGTGGGTGGTACTTTTTCGTTTAACGACAAATCAATCCATTCCTGTAGCTGGGTCCGCATTTTCTCCTGTGTCAGGCCATAGGCACGCATGCCTCTGGCCTTGCAGGCCTGCTGTAGCTCCCACAAATCCAATGAGTTGACACCTTCACGGGCAATAACACGATCATCGGCCGCCAGCGAACGTAATTTCATGCGCAGTTGGAAACGCAGGAAATTGGTGGTGCCCACTGTGTTTAGTTCCAGTACCTTACACAGAGCGGCCAGTTGTTCCCTGGTCAGGGAATCCAAGGTGATTTCATCTTCAAACCTCTTGGCATATTTGATGATCTCCTCGTTGGACACATATTCTGTGGGATTTTTAATTTTCTGGAAAAAGTTATCGAATTGTTTGGCCTCCTCACTCTTGTGTTCCTTGTGTTGCACAGCCATTTCATCGAGAGTCTTCTGCAAGAACTTGGCCATTTCCAGGCGCACCTGAAGATTCTGTTTCAGTTTATCTTCACGTTCTTTGGTTGTTTGGAATGTTGAGGGCAACATGCCGGGGAAAAATTTAATAAAGACAGGCAACAGCAGTTCCATGAACGGCACAATGATGAACACCGAAAAGGGTATCAAACGGAACAGATCTGAGGTGGTACGCACCAGCAGTTTGTTTTCTCTGCGTGTCAATGTCTTGCCGTTCAGCACACGCCACAAGAGTTTGCGACAAATGTTGATGTCGATGAAGAGCAGCCGGAAACCATGATAGTAGTGGACAATTTCCTCCCAGATACGGGTCTTCAGAGACTTTTTTACGGCCAATTGTTTGGCTGGCACTTCGGCCAATTTATTGTTGGTTGTCTCCACGGCACTGGAAGCAGCCGTTGCTGCTGATGTTGCAGCCGCCGCTGTGGGTGCTGCTGCAGCGGCAGCATTACCATTGGCTACTTCTTTTAAAATTTCTTCAACTTTTTCTTTTTGTTTGTTTTTCATGGTCTGCACAGTGACTTCGACCTTGGACGAGGGTTGTTCGTATAAACGATGGCTCAGATGCAGGGAACGGTTGTGGACCAAGGCGACGGTATCATAATAGCTACCAGCGGCCAATGGTAGGTAGTAATGGCCGGGTAAGAGAGCTGAACGGCTGGTGGCGGCATGTTGCAGAGTTGTGGTAGCACCGCCACCAGCGCTATACGGTTCTATGCGATATTTCAGTGCGAAATGAGAACGATTGTGTGATGTAGTATCTGAAAAGGAGGGGGAAAAAGAATTTGATTAGTAGGTGCTGAAGAAAATAAAGAAAAAAAGAAATAAATTTCAAGGAATACCGGAATTTGTCCGATCCGAAACCTTTCCTTTGGATAGGTTGGGATCAATGGAAGCAACATTTCATATCATATTCTCTGCAGAAAATATAAAAAACTTTCAAATTGCATTTTTTGGAAATAAATGAGACATTTACTTTATTAACGCCTAAAAGTATGCTCCATATTTTTTGACTAGGAGAAATACCCATATTTACTATGAATTATAGATGGTGCTTGTTACGGCATGTGAAAAAGAGACTAGTTCGGTGGAATTTCTAAAGGGAATGGATGATTATGTGGCCACGTGAGGTGACGTTCCAAAAATATTGGGCCAAAACAATTAATGTGCAGAATTTGGACCACAAAAAGCTGATTTCCTTTGCTTTGTCGGCAATAAAATTGTCTTTTTTGGCCAGACATAAGTATTGGAAATTGTGGGGAAGGTACAAGAAGAAATGGTACGTTCTCTACCATCTTTATTACCGATCCTGTTTTGATATATAAAATTGAGATTTGTCTGAAGGAAATCTGAATTTCGCGTTTTATGAACTTCATGGTTATTCAAAACTTTGATCCTTTGTGGGGGAGGTACCAGAAGAAATGGTCCAATTTCTACTATCTTTATAACAGATTATGTGCTGATGGAAATATTGAGATGTGCCAAGTCTGAATGGAATCAGATTTTAATTTTGGATTTTAAGAGCTCATGGTTATTCAAAACTTTGATCCTTTGTGGGGGAGGTACCAGAAGGAGTGGACCGATATATCCCATCTTCACAGCAGATCTTGTGTTAGTAAATATAATGGCATGTGTGAAGTTTGAAGAGAACCGAAAGCTTATTTCGGATTTTATGATCTTTATGGTTATTTAAATCTTACACCCTTTGTGGGGAAGATACCAGAAGGAATGGTCTGATCTCCACCATCTTTATAACAGATCTTGCGTTTATGGAAATATCGAGATGTGTCAAGTCTCAATGGAATTGGATGTTAATTTCGTGTTTTACGAGCTTTATGAATATTCAAAATGTTGACCCTTAATGGGGGAAGTACCTGAAGAAATGGTCCGATCTATACCATCTTTATAAAAGATTTTGCGTTTATGGAAATATCGAGATGTGTCAAGTCTCAATGGAATTGGATGTTAATTTCGCATTCCATGAGCTTCATGGATATTCAAAATTTTGACCCTTTGTGGGGGAGGTACCAGAAGGAGTGGACCAATATATCTCATCTTCATACCAGACCTTGGGTTAATGAAAATATTATGTTGAGTTTAATTTGATGACAATCGAACACTAACAACATATTTTAAAAGAGTAATAATTATTCCAAACATTGACCCTTTGTGGGGTAAGTACTTGATGGTGTGGACCGATATTGTCCATTTTCGTACCTAACTTAAAACTGATGCGAATATTAGAACTTGTAAAGTTAGAACAAAATCGGGTTACATTTTCTCTCTCTCTGTGCAGTAAATTATTTTCTTCGAAAATCTTGATATTTTGTGGGGGAGGTACCAGAAAGAGTGGACCGATATTGCCCATCTCTCATCTCGATCTAAGTTTGATAATAATATTACGATGTACCAAGTTTGAATTAAATCGGGTACTTCCTTCGAGAGATATCGCTATATCGACTCCAAATGTCCTAAAACGGATTTGGTCCAAAGAGACTTTGGGTCTAAAACCGTTATTTCGATGAGGTACGTTTTGGCCGTATCAAATACAAATATAATACTCTCTCTAGCCATATGGCTGAGGGTATAAAAAGTACTCAAAAGTAGATCATAAATTGGAACTATGGACCTATCCTATCTTCTTTTGCCTTTACAACAGACTTCATTTATTGATTGTACTCCGAATTTGATTGAAAATTTAGTTTCTTTTACTGACATGTTTATGGGCGATATATCAACAAATATCACGATTAGTAGGGAATTACTGATAACTTCCCAAAATGTTTTTGGCGATAAGGAAAATGCTAGATTAAATAAATGTTTGGAGTAGAAAACAACGCTTTTGGCAAAATTGCAATTTGTTTTCGTTTTAGAAGCCATATTTTCTCACACGCACACTCAATTAAATAATACCCCTTCTCTACGATGTGCAAACACAATCACTTTCTATACTTTTTGTTTATCTTTAAAATTTTGGTTTGTTTTGTTCTCTCTCGATCCCATCAAATACATCATAATTAAAATTATTTCATTTTGTTTTTCTTGACATGCTGTTGTTGTTTTCAATTTTTTTTGGTTTTTACTTGTTATTCACTATTTACTTTTATTCTATTGCTTTGTTATTGTATTTTGCTTATTATCATGCCATATCGTCTATCATCATTTCATTTCATTTTCCAAGTGTTAATCATAATAAAGTGATTAGTGGGAGGGCAGGGGAGACTGTGGTGACAAGGGTAACCGACAGGTATAACCGGTATAAATAAGAAATCACATTGGTGTTAATTACAAATGATCTAATAACTTATGTAAATAACCAAAACAATGACCAATACACCAAAGTGAGAGAGAGAGGGAGAAAGAGTGACAGAAAGCACGCGAGAGGAGAGAACTCGAAAAATACAGACATCAATCGATTATTTGGGTTAGCAAGAATTCAATGGAAATTTGACAAAAAGCGGTGATGGGTTTTCTTCTTTTTTATTTATTTTTTCCCATAAGACCATGGACGGTTCCAAAAACATCTATATATTGACTACTTGACTACTACTACTATTAGTCTCTACTGCTATTAAATTTCAATAAATGTTGGTCTTCAATGGAAAGGAAGTGCCTTATATGACAATATGTAAAAAATAAATAAAAGAAAAGAAAATTGTCAAATTTTATTTCAATTCTTGTTAATCTATTAACCAATAGATATCTGGATTTTTCGGTTCTTGTATGGCTATAATCTTTGATTTTCGGTTTAGATGATCTGTTACTATATCCTCTGCCATATGGCTAGAGAGGGTATATATAATTTGATAAGGCCAAAACGTGCCTCATCGAAAAACCGGTTTTAGACCCTAAGTCTCTTTGGACAAAATCTTTTTTCAGGACGATCTAGCGATTTCCGTCCGTCCGCCCGTCTGTCTGTCTTGCTGGTGCTCACAATAACTCTTGAAGGGAGCACTCGATTTGATATAAACTTGGTACATTGTAATATTATTATCAAACTTAGATCGAGTTCGGAGATTGGCAGTATCAGTCAACTCCTCCAGGTACCTCCCCCACGAAAGGGCGAAATTTTCAAAGAAAATAATTTACTGCACAGAGATAGAAAGGATAATCCGATTTTGTTCTAACTTTGCAAATCCTAATATTTGCATCAGTGCTAGGTCAGGTGCAAAAATGGACAATATCGGTTCACTCTATCAAGTACCTCCCCCACAAAGGGTTAAAATTTTGAATAAATATAATTCTTATAAAATGTGATGTAAGAGTCCGATTGTCTTCAAATTACACACATCACAGTATTTTTATTAACCCAAGGTCTGGTGTGAAGATGGAAATTATCTGTCCACTCCTTCTGGTACCTCCCTTACAAAGGGTCAACATTTTGAATATTCATGAAGCACATAAAACGCGAAATTAACATTCGATTCCATTCAGTCCTGGAAAATGTCAATATTTCCATCACCACAAGATGTGTTATAAAGATGGTACAGATCAGACCATTCCTTCTGGTACCTCCCCCACAAAGGGTCAATGTTTTGAAAAATAAAACGCACAAAGAAGGCGAAATAAGCATCCAACTCTCTTCAGATTTCACACATACAAACATTATTGCTAACGCATGATCTGTTGTGAAGATGACATATATCTGCGAACCCCTGGTACCTCACCCACAAAAGGTCAAAATTTTGAGTATCCGTGAAGCTCATAAAACGCAAAATTAAGATCCGATTGCATCTTAGTATTTCTATCAACACAAGATCTGTTAAAAAGATGATAGAGATAGGGAGGTAGGTACCTACCCCACAAAGGGTTCAAAATTTTGTACCGCATGGGTACAATCTTTGGTTTTCCGTTTTATAGGCTGCTTGTTTTCCTCTTGGGCAGCCTTCTAAGAGAATAAAAGTTTGAAGCACTGAAAGAAACCATTTCATCGGTATATTTTCTTTGAGAGGTCTTGATGGACCATTAATAGTTCTTTAAAATAAGGTCTAGTCTAGGTTTCTCTTCTCTCTGAAGGGCATTTGTTTTTGCCTCACGAGACATTTAGTCCCCTAAAAGTCAATGGATTTTTGCGTTTCTCAAGACTTCGGAGACTAAAAGAAACAAACGAAGAAACAAAGCCTCCTAAAGCAATTGGATTTTTGCTCTTCCCAAGACTTCTGAGACCAAAGAACCCTACTCCAAGGGCCTTTTTATTGTACAGATCTGTTTAACAAAAAAAAAAACGATTTATTTCAATACAAAGCGACACTTAAATCCAAATATGATTCAAAACTATATGACAAGCAAAACATTTAATTTAAATAACTCATTGATCTGGGCGATAATATAATTTCCATATCTTCCACATGGGATAGAGATTCGTTTAATGGATGTTGTTTCTTCTCCTCTTCTTCTCCCCTGCCCATGTTAGCCTTTGAGTTTGCTTTCGAAGACATTTTCGAATTGACTTCTATCAGCGATGACTTGGTAATGGTTTCTTGAGATTTTTTATCTGCTTTGGGTGTAATATTTTGCCCGCTGCCAGTTTCTTTTGTGTTCTCATTTCCCTTTGGCAAAGTTGATGGCATTTGTTTTTGTTTTTCTTCCACATTTTCTTCTGCTGCTGCTTCCTGATAGATTTCATTTTGTTCTTTCATCAACTTCATTTCACTTGTTTCTTTGGTAGAACTCTGGCCATTAGACGTTGAGGGTTCTACATTGGGTATTTCGCTGATTTGTAGGGCAGCCGATACCACAGCAGGATTCCATGGCCAATTTGTGGGTAGGCCATATAATCGTTTGGCATTTGCCCATTGGGAGAACATTTTCAAACTGTAATCATCAATGGCGCCATCACTCAGGTAGCCAATATCACTCCACTCTGGTGCCATAACATCATATTGCTGGCTGGCATGATTTTTGGATTTTGGCAAGGGTACATTACCACCGTGAAATTTAAATTTCCGAGTATTCGTGCGCAAACGTTTGCGGGCACGATCATATTCATCACCCGACACGGACTCTTGGCTGTAATGGCGATCTACATGGGAATTGGGATCTAAATTGCGGACACTTCTTTTGCGGGCCACCTGGGGGAAAATAATGAATGGCATCAATTACAAATCGAAAATAAGGGAAATTTTTCCAACTTACCCTTGGCTGAAAATATTCCCGGTGCAATTGAGGTATTGGCCGTCCGGGTGTTGTCCTCGACGCCATACCATATGAATGACCCATGGTGAAATTTGTGGATCCCTTCTTCTGAATTAAACCCACTTCACTTAGATTCATGAGGGCATGTTCAATTACCGTCTCCAGATGTGGAACCGGTACCAAATTTCGCATTTGATACTCAACTTGATTTATAACAGCCATTAATGGTATGGTCTTATTTGCATTACCATTACTCAGAATATGCATTGCCTTCAATACATGACGATTGACCTTTTTCGGAACATTCATGGACATGATTAACGAATTTTTCACAATTTTTCACAAATTAAATTTTGGAATTCACAAAAAATACACAACTTTTTCAATTCAAAATTTTCCGTTTTTGATTTTTTTTTCAAAGAGGGGAAAAGCAGAGGTGATTTGTTTATTTTGAAAATAAGTAAACATTTGAATTTTTATGAATAACAAAGTGTTTTATGATTTAGTGGAGATTAACTAAAAAATTGCTATTTTTTTGGTATAGCACAAAATTTCGTAAGAAATGCTATTTTTTGCTATAGCACAGAAATTTACCACAAATGCTATGATATTTTTTACTATGGCACAAAAATTCACAAGAAATTCAATTTTTTTGCTATAGCACAAAAATCCATGAGAAATGCATGCTATTTCTTTGCTATATAGCACAAAACTTACTTTAGAAATGATATTTTTGCTATTACACAAAAATTTGCCAAAATGCTATTTTTTTCATAGCACAAAAATTCGCCAGAAATGCTTTTTTTGCTATTGCACAAAAAATTCATCAAAAATACAATTTTTTCTATGACGCAAAAATTTACCAAATATGCTATTTTTTACTATGGCACAAAAATCCGCCAGAAGTGCTATTTTTGGCTATAGCACAAAAAAATCGTCAAATATACTATTTTTTATTTCAGAAATGCTATTTTTGGCTATAGAACAAAAATTCGCAAAAAAAGCTATTTTTTGCTATAGCATAAACAGACATGCTATTTTTTCAATAGCACAAAATTTAGTCTAAAATGCTATTTTTTCGCTATGCTATGCTATATTCGTCAGAAATTATATTTTTTTATGCCCTCCACCATAGAATGGAGAGTATATAATACATTGAAATATAGATTGTATACTCCACAAAATATATATTCTTGATCAGCATAAAATTCTATGTCGATTAAGCGATGTCCGTCCGTATGTCCGTCTGCGGAAATTACTCTAGCTTCCGAACAAAATGAAGTAAATTGATAAAATTTTACTCAAATGTAGACTATGTTCACAAGACTTTTGTTATTGCAAATGGGCCATGTAGGTCCTCGTTTTGGTATAGACCCCATATAATGGTACCTCCCTATTTTCCTTATTTTGATGATTTTAGCAACATTATTCACCGGAATTGTTTCAAATTTTGTATTTGCAGTTCGTAATGGATACTACAGCCTATGACAGAAAATCGTCTGTGCAGGTTCACGTCTTCGTATAGCCCCCATATAATGAAACCCTTATTTTCGGTATTTTGGTGATTTATGTGATATTATTCATTGGAAATATTTCAAATTTGATATTTGAAGTTCGTAATGGATGCTACAGCTTATGACAGAAATTTGTCTGTGCAGGTCCACGTCTTCGTCCTCATATAATGGTACCTCCCTATTTTCAGTATTTTGATGATTTTAGCGACATTATTAATCGGAATTGTTTAAAATTTAGCATTTGAAGTTCGTAATGGACACTACAGCTTATGACAGAAAATCGTCTGTGCAGGTCCACGTTTTGGTATGGCCCCCATATAACGGTATCTCCCGATATTCAGTATTTTGATAATTTTAGCGACATTATTCACCGGATTTTTTTAAAATTTGGTATTTGAAGTTCGTAATGGATACTACAACGTATGACAGAAAAGTGTCTGTGCAGGTCCACATTTTGGTATAACCCCCATATAATAGCACCTCCCTACATTGATGAATTTAGCTACATTATCACCCATTTTTTTCAAGTTTCACATTTGAATATTACCTATATAGGTCCACCTCGTCGTATGGACCCTAATATAACGGCTACATTCGGTATTTTTAAGATTTTAACAGAATTTTTAGCGGGTTTTATTTTTTGAAAATTGCCAAATTCGTTCCAAATGGCAGAGGGTATTCAATGCTCGGCCCGGCCGAACTTACCGCTTTTTTTACTTGTTTCTATCTCACTCTGTATTTTTTTTTTTTTTGTCTTTTCTTTGTGTTTCTCCAATAATTAAGGATTATTGACCTACATTGTTTAAGGCTCACATCTATATTAAAACGAAAAAATGGGTCATCGAACTTTGTTTCAGAATTGAATGCACGAAGGCAGCAACTAAAAAAAATTAATGCATCTGTTGGTTTTTATGACAATTCAAATTTGTTTTAATCAAAAAAAAAAAAATACCGCACAACAAACACACTGACGCCACAATGTCTACCTCTGTGATACCATGATGCAATATTGCAGGGAATTTTTGAAATGTAGGTATAAAATTAGAAACGACATTGTTGTCTGAGTCACGCAATGATCTGTTAACAAATTCTCTGACTTTGGGATTTGAAACATTTTATGAAAGAAAAAAGCTAGAATTTAAAATTTGTTTTCAGACTTTTTCGCCGCCAAAAACTAAAGGGTTTTATCGGCCTCCATTTCTAACTTGTCTTGGAAGTCAGTTTTTCTTCAATGCAACTTTTGGTAGACTTAATGCTTTCATGACAAAATGAATTTCTCTTATCTTAAAGACATGATAGGTTCTCCATTGCAGCTATCATTTTAACAATGATTGCAACGAGTTAGTAATCAAAATTAAACACTTTTGATAAACTACAAATCGACTATTGTGAGAACAAAATAAAAAATCTTCCACATTAGATAGGTATATAATCGTGCCAATTAAATTGTCTTATTACATACCCTACCCTTTGTCTAAAAGTATTGTGCTTTCGCTTTTGTTTAAAAAGTGTATTTTTCTTTTTTTTTGTATTCGAAGAGCATTAACCCAATTTATTTAGCTGGGTAACCTTGGTTTGGTTCAAGTTTGTGCAAAAGGAAATTCAAAGAAAAATGCAAATAGAAAAGGAAAATCTTTATCTTTTGGCAAACAATCATACGCCACAAAAACAAAGGTAAAGATACATTCTAAAAAGCAAGTAAAAAAGCTGCAAGTTCGGCCGAACCTATCTTCGAATACCTTCCATCATTTAGAACGAATTTGGCAATTTTCAACAAAAAAAAATCCCTTAAAATTTCTGTTAAAATTTTAAAAATACCAAATGTAGCCGTTATTTTAGGAACTATACAACGACGTGTCATAAGCCATACAATATTCAAATGCGAATGTTGAAAAAAAAATCGGTAAACCATGGCTAAAATCATCAAAATACCGAACATCGGGGGTTACCGTTATATGGGGGCTATACGAAGACGTGGACCTGCACAGACAATTTTCCGTCACAGGCTGTAGTATCCATTACGAACTTCAAATATCAAATTTGAAACAATTCCGGTGAATAATGTCGCTAAAATCATCAAAATACCGAATATCGTGAGCTACCGTTATATGGGGGCTATACGAAGACGTGGATCTGCACAAAAAATTTTCTGTCATAGGCTGTAGTACCCATTACGAACGTTTAATATCTAATTTGAAACAATTCTACAATTCTACCGAATATCGGATAGTGCTGGTATGTGGGGCTATTCGAAGACGTGGACCTGCACAGACAATTTTCTGTCATAGGCTGTAGTACCCATTACGAACTTCAAATACAAAATTTGAAACAATTCTGGTGAATAACGTCGCTAAAATCATCAAAATACCGAATATCGGGAGGAACCGTTATATGGGGGCCATACCAAAACGTGGACCAACCATTTTCAATACCAAAAGTCCTACAGACATAATGTACGTTTGAGTAAAATTTTATAAACCTACTTCATTTCGTTCGGAAGCTAGAGGGATTTCCGCGGACAGGCAGACAGTGAGACGGACGGACATCGCTAAAATGACATAGAATTTTATGCTGATCAAGAATATATATACTTTGTAGGGTCTAAAATACATAAACCCTCCATATTATGGTGGAGGTTATAAAAATATATGACAAAAGTACAAAAAAAACTCTAAAAGTTACAACTACTTTAAATTATGTCTACATAAAAAGAAATGCTTCTTATTTACATATGTAGGGAAAATCCTCTAATCTGAAGGAATTTCAAGTCCATTATCACAGTCTTATCTTTGAAAACAACACAAGAATGATTCATGTCCAGCATAACGTAAATATTTGATAAGCTATGACACAGTTTGATTTTATGTTATGCTCTGGTCTGAAAATCTTACATCACTTTCGATGAGGGATATTATTGGATTATAGGCTAGTTCAGATTAAGTAGCCCATTTCGACGTAGCAACCAAAATGATCAAGTTGTGTAAATGTTTTCAACATTTTCCAATAATATGTTTTTATATTTCCTCAGTTTTATCTTGGTAGAATTAGGAAGTCGATCTCGTGCAATCATATGTTTACTTTTTTTCAAAATTATACAATTGACAACAACTCATTGTCAATGTTTATATATAAATCAATTGTATATTCCGAAATCATAGATGGGAACCTATTTTGTATTCAGTTAAGATTCTGACTCTTTCGGTGGCATCTAAAAGGCAACAAGACCAGTTATATTCTACATAAAATGCTAAAACTACTTACAATTTTATTACAATTTTGCTGTCCCTTTTTAAACAAATTGGCAACCCTAAACAGCTGTGATAGAAAACAATCACGTCATTGCAAATAATAGCAGCCCACCTATTAACTCTAAATTTGACATTGCATACAATGGAAAGTTTTCAAGATTTTCCTAAAATTTTCTCAAGCAATGTATTCTTAAAAACAAAAATATGGATATAAAAACATTAACATATTCAAAATAGCTATCTACTTACATTTCTTTGAGGGCAAAGCAACATGCTTATTCAGGCCACACTTTTTATAACTTCGCACAAAGGCATTCATGTTGAGACGGGATTGTTGCAGAATCCGTTTTGAATAGTTAACTTCTTATTGACAATTATCAAAGAGAAGGGGGTGTTTATTTTATTATGTACAATAACGAATTAGGTGCTAGAAGCTGTGCAAAGAAAGGCTAAAGAACAAGAAGATACAACAACAACAACTAGATTAATTTTCTTTTTCCACTTTTTCAAGAACACAAGTACACACACACACACGCACGCTGAAAAGGCAAGTGTGCCTGCAGCCCGATATATTATTTTCTTTTATTTCTTTTATAAATTATATCTTTTTGCTTTCTTTTCGTTATTCTTGATATTCTCTATTGATCGTTTAACTCATTGCTCCTTGTACCAAAGCATTATTACACAATTCTTTGGGTCAATTGCACACAGATCTTTTCTACTGGTCTTTCCTTCTGTTTTTTTGTTGTTGCAATCGAAAGATATGCCGCAACATACGAGACGAAGGGCAAAGTCGTAACTTTTATTCGATACCTACAATAAATTATTATTCAAGTATTATTTTTTCACTTTATGTAGCAACGCGTCACGCTTTCGTTTTTATATAGTTTTACTTTTTATTAGTTATTTACGTTATTTACTATCTGTTTCTTGTTTCGGCGGCTGTCGTAGAAATTTCACGATTCAACAATAGTTTCCAAGTTTACGGTTGTCAATTGTCATCTGTCGTAGGGATATGTAGATCGGCTTTTGACTAATGTTTCCCAGCCCTAATCGACTTGACTTTAAACGTCATAAAGTGAAGTGGGATGTTGTATTTTATTGTATAGTTTTCATTTTGTAAGACATGTATTATTTTTATTAAGGATGTTTGAGTAAACTTTTTTAGTTTGCAGCGTATAATTCATTCATTCCGAATTGATATTTTATTTCTTGATAGGGGCATGTAGGTCGATTTACTACACCATTCGTCAAGCCCTGTAGTGCAATTCAGTATTTTTTTCATTAATTTCTTTGGCTAAACTTTGCATGAAATAATGATTTGTTGTTTTCGTTTGAAGAAATCCCAAAATTTGTATTTCTATTTCCTTTCGTTCCCTCTTGTCAAGTCAAAATTGAGCAGAACGAAATAAATAAATGTTGTCATCATGTTAGAATCCACACTCCAATAATTTCTTGAAAAAAATATAATGAAAGTGTCAAAAAATTGTAAATTTAGGCGAAACAGGTGAATATTTTTAATGAAATTATAAAAGAATAGAATAAAAGTAAACACAAATATTTTACACAAGGTAAGGAACCTCGCCCACTGTTCCTTGGTTACATATTTTGCCATATTTCAAATACTAGCTAAAATTTGAGTTTTTCGTTTGCATTATGGAACTTTGCATACTGCATGTATGGAAGGGGGATAGAAAAGGGGCTCGTTTTCATGATGTATTTTTATACAAAAAATCAAATTGCCTTGCAAAAATGAAAGAGTTCTGTTCAAAACAGAACGCTTTAAATTAACGAAAATAAACTGTCTAAATCTAAATACGACCTATACCATGATATAATGAAGACAAGGTAGGCTAAATTGGAAAAAGTCGTATGTAACGTAACCTGTAAGGATTGTAATGTCAGAATTTCTATCAAAACAAAAACAACTTGTATGGATTTTAAAAGGCCATACTTTCTTTTAAAATCATGTTCTACATATCTCTAAAGGTTTATTTCGCTACAAAAGTTGCATTTTTTCTCTGCATACTTTGAAATAAGCATCTTGGTATCAACTTAATTTTAATATTCAAAAATTGAAAATAATAATACACACCCATGCATAAATAAAGTTCACATAAAAAAAAAATTATCAAAAAATTAAATTGAGTAATTCTGCCCTACCTCGTTTTCCTTGTATCGTGGACTATACAGACCTTTCTTATACGTTACAGTCCGTACGTTACGTTACGATACCTTGTGACTGTTTGTTGGCATGTAATTCTTGCGGATAAGTTTACTGACCGTTTTCGATCTACGGATCTCTGTTTGCAGTGTTTTTTGTTTTGATTTTTATCTTTATCCCGTTTTCTCGCTTTGGTCTTTGTTTCTTATTTCAACGGCGGTAGGTTTCTAATAGGCGCTTAGTAATCTGTAATAATTTGGTCCTAGGAAAATCTCACGAAACCCGAACATAATGGATAATTTAAACCCTCTTGCTGGTACAGACCACTCTCTTACGCCCTGCAATATTTTTCCGGAGAAACTAATGGTATTGTTGAGAGATGGTCGTACCCTGATAGGATTTTTACGTTCGGTGGATCAATTCGCCAATTTGGTGTTACATCGCACCATAGAACGGATACATGTTGGCAATGAATACGGTGATATTCCACGTGGAGTCTTTATTATACGTGGCGAAAATGTGGTACTTTTGGGCGAAATTGTAAGCAAAAATGCCAGCCAGAACAAAAACATTGTTTGACATCGATGCTTAATTTTTTAGGATCGTGAAAAGGAATCCAAACTACCGCTTAAGGAAATTTCTGTCGATGATATTCTCGATGCCCAGAGACGAGAACAAGAACCGCGCCAGGAAAAGCATCGTCTCATATCGAAAGCCTTAAAAGAACGTGGTTTAGGTGTCAATGAAGATTTCTGTTAGTCGATATGTGCTTAAAGTGAATAGTCTACTTTTATATATACATATATATATTTATATATATATTTAAGAATATATTTTTGCTAAATGTTAAAAAATACTTATGACAAACGTTCGCTTTCTTCTTTATCAATATATTTCTCTAATACTTGCATCATTTCAACTTGGGCCTTAATCTTATAACGTAGCGATAGATTTTTTAAATACGAAGCTATTACTTTGGAAAACGAGTCCTCACTAGCCATTTCCGCATTGGCTGGAATGTCTGGTGTGGCTGAGAAATGTTGTTCCTTGGGGTACATGGCTTGTGGTGTATTTCCCGTTAGATCTGTCTCTGCAATACAAGGGATATTAGCTGTTGAAGAAGTACATGAAGCGTCTTGAGCCTCCATAACTTTTTCCGAAGTTTCTGAAAATTAAATGGACATGGTCTTCAAAAACTTTGTCAATAAGATTTAATGTAGATATGTTCCTACCACTAAAATGCTCATCGCCAACATTATTTTCCATTTCCGAACAGTGAGTAGCATTATCCTCTTCCCTATGTGATGGACATCTTATCTCGGTCTCTGTAGCCCTTAGCCCACTGTCCTCCGAATAATCATCTTCGTCATCAACAATATATATTTCAGGTTTCATCTCCATATTTTCAGTGTCCGCACTACACAAACTCGTTGTTGTCCTATCCACAACATCATTGCGCACCGGACGTTTCTTTATAAAATGACGCAAAAAATCCATTCGACAAAAGAAATCACTTTGGCCATACGACTTGTCTGTTGGATTATGATTCACTTGTTTCAGCTCTCTGGCATAGCGGCGCCTAAGAGCAGTCCAGCGCTTGCGGGCTTCCTGTGGAGACATACCAATATTGGTACCCACCCGGCTCCATTGTAAATTTTTCTTGTGAACCGATCGAAAATCCGGATGACGGTTATTATACAAACAGGGCGAGAGTTTAATAAATTCTATCAGACTGATATCTATTTCATCCAAGGGCCTGTGATTGGCGGTCATATCTTCGCCAAGTTTCCTACACTCCAAGAAGATAGTGTGAACCTAGAAGAGAAGCGTAATCAAATGTCAAATACATGGGGGTTTCACACATTACGCTTCTAACTTAAAATATATAGATATATGGTCTGTTCCAGAACCTTGCATTTTTTTTCCGATATAATAAAGGGAAAATCGGTTATTGTTGTAAAAATTTTGCAATTCTGGAACAGACCGACTATACACCAATGCCAATATGCATATTTAGTAGAGCTCCTGTAACAAAAGAATTTATTTGGAGTAGATCATACCACCTATCAACATTTGCCATTAAAGCTGTTATAGTTTGGTTTCAGAGGGAACTAATATAAGGAAGGCATATCCAATCTGTATCGATTTTCACTAAATTTGACGGAGATATAATAACCTTTTATATCAAATAAGTAAAAAAAAGCTGTAAGTACGGCTGGGCCGAACTTTAAATACCCTCCACCATTTGGTACATAATTCCGGTAAACAATGTCGGTAAAATCATCAAATATACAGAATATCGGGGGTATCGTTATATGGGGGCTATACGAAGACGTGGACCCGCACAGACAATTTTCTGTCTTAGGCTGTAGTATCCATTATGAACTTCAAATACAAAATTTGAAACAATTCCGGCAGATAATGTCGCTAAAATCATTAAAATACTGAATATCGGGAGGTACCTTTATATGGGGACTATACGAGAGCGTGGACATACATGGCACATGGCCTATTTGGGTGGTATCTAAAAGGCAACAAAATCAACAATTCTACATAAGATTTTGGTACTACTTACATACATCTATTATCCCCCGCCAACTATACCCGTTTTTACTTTTTAAATAAATCGGCAACCCTAAACAGCTGTGATAGAAAACAATCACGTCATTGCTAAAAATAGCAGCCCACCTATTAACTCTGAATCTGATATTGCATACAATGGAAAGTTTTCAAAATTTCCTTACATTTTCCCCACGCAATGTATTCTTAAAAACAAAAATATAGACATAATAAACATTGACATATTCAAAATAGCTATCTACTTACATTTCTTTGAGGGCAAAGGAACATGCTTATTCAGGCCACCCTTTTTATAACTTCGCACAAAGGCATTCATGTTGAGATTAGTTAACTTCTTATTGGCAATTATCAAAGAGGATGTATGCTTCCTTTTCGTCTTTATTATGGACAATAACAATTAGTTGCTAGAAGCTGAGCAAGAAAGGGCTAAAGAACAAGAAAAAATAAAAACAACTAGATTATTTTTTTTTCTTTTCCACTTTTTCAAGAACACAAGTACACACACACTCGCGCTGAGAAGGCAAGTGTGCCTGCAGCCCGATATATTTATTTTATAAATTATATCTTTTTGTTTTCTCTTCGACTTTTCGATTTTCGTTTTTATATAGTTTTACTTTTATTTATTAGTTATTTACGTTATTTACTATATGTTTCTTGTTTCGGCGGCTGTCGTAGAAATTTCACGATTCAACAATATTTTCCAAGTTTACGGTTGTCAGTTGTCATCTGTCGTAGGGATATGTAGATCGACTTTTGACTAACGTTTTCGCGCCCTAATTAGGTTGAGTAAAAATGTCAAAAAAAGTTGTCAAATGTAAATAGTTTACCTTTTTAAGGCATGTAATATATTTTGTTAAAGATCTTTGAGTAAACTTTTTTAGTTAACAGCATATAATCCATTCATTCCAAATTGATGTTTATTCAATGGCCTAAAATGGTAAAGAAATGGTAAATGTATTTTGAACAAATGGTTTATATCTATACTATCTAGATAACAGCTCATGACGGGACCATGTTGACATAAAAAAAAAAACATATATAGAAAAAAAATGACAAGCAAAAGTTTGAAAAGTTCAAAAATTTGGTTTCAAAATTCTATTCCATAGACTTTCCAAATTGATTGCATATTGCCTAAATGCATTGTGAACAATAGGTTTGTGAACAGGAAATATCGAATAAAAGCAAATACATTTTTTACACAAGGTAAGAAACCTCACCCCTTTTCCTTTGTTACATAATTTGCCATATTATAATACTAGCTTAAATGGCATACTGCAAGAACGGAATCGGATTGAAAAAGTGCTCGTTTTTATGATGTATATTATTTTTTTTATGTAAACTCTCTAAATCTAAAAAAGATCTAAACGGACTTTTCTGATACGTTACATTCCATACGTTACGTTACGATGTTGGCATGTTTGTGACTGTTTGTTGGGCATGTTATCCTAGCGGATAAGTTTGCTGACCGTTTTCGATCTACGGATCCCTGTTCACAGTGTTCTTTGTTTTGATTTTAATTTTTATTCCGCTTTTTCGCTTCGGCCTTAGTTTCTTATTTAAACGGCGATAGGTTTCTAATAGGAGCTTTGTAATCTGTGATAATTTGGTCCTAGGAAAATCTCACGAAACCCGAACATAATGGATGATTTAAACCCTCTTGCTGGAACAGCCCATCTTTTGGAAGAGGTAGACAGTAAGTCTAATAAAAAATGTAAATGCACCACTCTCTAACGCCTTGCAACATTTTTCCAGAGAAACTAATGGTATTGTTGAGAGATGGTCGTACCTTGATAGGATATTTACGTTCGGTGGATCAATTTGCCAATTTGGTGTTACATCGCACCATAGAACGGATACATGTTGGCAATGAATACGGTGATATTCCACGTGGAGTCTTTATTATACGTGGCGAAAATGTGGTACTTTTGGGCGAAATTGTAAGCAAAAACACCAGCCAGATCAACAAAGACATTGCTTGACATTGGTACTTTCTTCTCTTTTTCAGGATCGTGAAAAGGAATCCAAACTACCGCTTAAGGAAATTTCTGTCGATGATATTCTCGATGCCCAGAGACGAGAACAAGAACAGCGCCAGGAAAAGCATCGTCTCATATCGAAAGCTTTAAAAGAACGTGGTTTAGCTGTCAACGCAGACATTATCAATGAAGATTTCTGTTAGTCGATATGTGCTTAAAGTGAATAGTCTACTTTTTTATATATATATTTATGTACAATACTTAAGAATATATTTTTTCTAAATACTAAATAATACTTATGACAAACGTTCGCTTTCTTCTAAAACAATATATTTCTCTAATATTTGCATCATTTCAACTTGGGCCTTAATCTTATAATGTAGCGATAGGTTTTTTAAATACGAAGCTATTACTTTGGAAAACGAGTCCTCACTAGCCATTTCCGCATTGGGTGGAATGTCTGGTGTCGCTGAGAAATGTTGTTCCTTAGGGTACATGACTTGTTGTGTATTTTCTGTTAGCTCTGCATCTGTAATACAAGGGATATTTGCTGTTGAAGGTGTATATGAAGTGTCTTGAGCCTCCAGTACTCTTTCCGAAGTTTCTGAAAAATAAATGGGCATTTCCTTTAAAAACTTTGTAAATAAGATTTAATGTAGATATGTTCCTACCACTAAAATGCTCATCGCAAACATTACTTTCCATTCCCGAACATTGAGTGGTATTATCCTCTTCCGTATATGATGGGCATCTTATCGCGGACCCTGTGGCCCTCAGCCCGCTGTCCTCCGCGCTAACTTCTTCGTCATCAACGTTGTATATTTCAGGTTTCATCTCTATATTTTCAGTGTCCGCACTACATACATTCGTTGTCCTATCCACAGCATCCTTGCGCACCTGACGTTTCTTTATAAAACGACGCAAAAAATCCATTCGACAAAAGAAATCATTTTTGGCAAACGACTTGTCTTTTGGATTAAGATTCATTTGTTTCAGCTCTCTGGCATAGCGGTCTCTGAGAACAGTCCAGCGCTTGCGGGCTTCCAGTGAGGACATACCAACATTGGCACCCACCCGGCTCCATTGTAAATCTTTCTTGTAAACCAATCGAAAATCCGGATGACGGTTATCATACAAACAGGGCGAGAGTTTAATAGATTCTATCAGATCGATATCTATTTCATCCAACGGCCTCGGCCTGTGATTGGCGGTCATATCTTCGCCAAGTTTCCTACACTCCAAGAAGATAGTGTGAACCTAGAAGAGAAGCGTACATCAAGTGTCAAATAAATGGGGGTTTCACACATTACGGCTCTAGATATATGCTCTGTTCTAAAACCTGCAAGAATCTACCATCGTAGTAAAAATTTTGCAGTTCTGAAACAGACCAATAGATATATCGATACGATAAGTGGAAAATCGGTTATAATAGTAGAATTTTGTACCAATAAGGGATGGGAGTCTGTTTTCTGTGCTTTCCAATTTGACAAGTTCTCTGTTACCGCACCTGCGAAAATGTATAGAATATAGAAAAAACCAATAAGAAAAGTAAAAAGTCGGGCGGAGCCGACTATATGATACCCTTCACCTCAATGCATATTTAGTATAGCTCCCGGAACAAAAGAATTTATTTGAAGTAGATCATACCAACACCAAATCGGATAAAACATATAAATGGGATCTACCAAATTTGATGTACATACTTGCTTCTGGACTGTATTCGGTTGGATGTGCCAAATAAGGTCATTTGAAGTGATATTGGTCATTTGGTGCACAATAAACCATAAATTGGATTAAGGATATATATTTGGGGAACTATATCCAAATCTGAAGCGATCTTGATAAAATTTGACAGAGGCTTTTCTGGGTTGTATCTGATATCTGGTACAAATGTTATCCTTGTGGAGTGCATTTTACGCATGTGAGGGATTTTAACACCAAATCGCACGAAACATATAAATGGGAGCTTTGTCTGAACCATGGTAGAAGAATATAGGTAAACGCGTCGACACAGCTGCTTGGACAATGAACTGTCAAACCAATTTTGGAATTGAAAATGTTGAATGAAAAATTATTTAAATTTGTAAAAATTGTTGAAAAACGCGAATTATAACAGCCTCCGAATGACGTAGTATAAGAAAGTATATAAAAATCTACTTATATTTGAAAAAACATTTAAATTTTTTTGACATATCAATGCTCCCAAGCGTTGATGCATCTACCTGTATTCTTCTGCCAAGGTCTGAACCGAATAATTGCTTCTAGACTGAATTCGGTCAGATGTACCAAAATTTAGGACTTTTGGACTGATATTGGCCATTCGGTGTACAATTAACCCAAAATCGGTTGAAGATTTATACATGAGCTATATCTAAATCTGATCTGGTTATCACCAATTTCAATAGGGTTCGTCCTTGGACCAAACAAATATTGTTTGGAAAATTTCATCTCAATCGGATAATAAGTGCGACTCGCATTTTGTTCAGACGATTAAATGCACAAATCGACCGAGAAAGTGATTCCTACTCCATGTTACAAACTAATGTACAAAGACATAATAATCTTGTGGTGTAGGGTATAAAAATGCAAAACTGGTAGATTCGACCATGAATTTTTGCAGGTTCTGGAACATAGAAATGGTAAATTACAGAAAAATCCAAAATAGGGCTTCGATTCCTGTTCTATAAAAAGTATTACGGCAATTGTTATTTATTTGTTTCTTCATCCAGCTCTTTTGTTTTTCTGTATTATTCAATAGTTTTTCTTTTGCATATATTCAAAAAATTGTTGATATTTGATGTTATTATTTAATGTTAGACACTGACGAAAGTATTGGTATTTTTTGTTTGTAGTAGTAAAATACAGCTCGAGTTCAAAATAATTGTTCTTATACAAGACAGTTTAACATCTACCTTGGTCTTGTGTAAATGCCTAATAACACACAGTTGTCTGACGCTCCCAAAGCACCAACAAGAAAACTTGACATGTGGCCCAACCGCTTTATTCTACCACTCATTTGTCATTTCACAGAGCTGCATTCGTCAACCTTGTATGCCATAGCTACAACCCTGTTGTACGCCGCCATTTTGGCCTTTTATTTTTTTTTGCGTCAGAATCAGAAGAAAAATTTCACACGATTGAATCGTAGAAAAACTTATCAGGAAAAATTTATGAATTTACAATCCGAAAAGTGTCAATAAGAAAGATTATTATTTTGTTAACAAGTAGTGCATATAATTTAATAGAAATAACAAGGAAAAAACTACTATGAGATACTCAAAAATTGTGCCGTAGTGAAAACGAGCGAGCCGAAAGTGAAGAAAAGAAAGAAAAAAAATCTAGTGCTTTGGTAGTGAGACACCACTACAACGTCTTCGCCGTCGTTTGGTGAGGCTGCTGTTTGCTGCCGTTCTGTTTCTTTTTTTTGTGTCGTTCAACAATAAAAATAAATAAGAACGAACAAAATGGAAACCGTTGTGGCGTTTAATAATGAGGTAAGTTTAAAAGGACACTTTTTTTGTGGCGTGTAGTGCAAATGTGCCGACAGTGGCAAAGTGAAATTACATAAAATATTTTATCCTCTCCTGACACAGAGACCGACATACAAATGCTAATCAGGCCATGTTTATGTGGATGATTTCTTGTGATATCTTCATGAGTTTTTAATTACTTTCGTTGTGGCCCAGTGTCCTGTGCAAAAAGTGAAGTTCATTCATATGTTCCAAAGATAGCTAGCTTTGCACTGCAAAGCGGTTTTTATTTTCTCCCTGCCCATCTTACAAGCTAAACCAGACATTTATGTTGCATACCCACAGGCGCCATGTTAACCCTGAAATTTAATAGGTCATTTCACAAAGACAATTGATATTTCTAACAAAAATAAGTAGGCAAATATATAAGTGTGGGAATGGAGGACAGTTATGGTTATCTTCAGGATAATCATCCTAAAATAATAATGTCTAGTAGAGCTTTATTTTATAGCTTTATGGTCAGTGGCGTCTAAGTAAAACCATAAGTTTTTTTTTTCAAAATCTTGTCAGCTAACTTCGGATACAAGCCTGACTTAAACTAACAAAAAATTCTAGGAATTAATAATAAATATAATTTTAATTGTTTCTTTTTTTCTTTACTTTTCAGCTTTCCGGCCTCTATGAGGGCAAACCACCCATATCAAAAGCCAAAATGGCCTCCATTACAAGATCAGCCATGAAGGCCATAAAATTTTACAAACACGTTGTACAAAGTGTCGAGAAATTCATTTTAAAATGCAAGCCAGAATATAAGGTCCCAGGCCTGTATGTCATTGACTCAATTGTACGCCAGTCTCGTCATCAATTTGGCCCAGAGAAGGATGTGTTTGCACCACGTTTTGCCCGCAACATGAAGGAGACTTTTGCCAATTTATTTCGTTGTGCTCCCGAAGACAAGAGCCGCATTATCCGGGTACTCAATCTGTGGCAAAAGAACAATGTCTTTGCTCCCGAAGTTATCCAGCCAATATTTGATCTGGCTGATCCTAGTCATCCTATATACTCAATGCCACCGGCCACAGGATCGAGTGGTATGGCTAGTTCTTCGGCTGCCGATGGTTCACAGGCAAATGGCATGAATACCTCAAGTGGTTCGATGGACGTTAGTATGAGTGGTGGTGTTGGACCGTCCCAGTCGGGAGATGATAAAATGGCCAGTACATCGGGTGGCCTGGCGGATTTATCGGTAAGTTTCGAGTCTATTGTTTTTTATAATTTATACAAAATTATACAGGCTGTCAAGAAAATGTTTATAAGAATTCCAGAAATTCTTGACAGATTGTTGTGTTTTTGGTAGTCAGGTGGTGTAATATTTGAAATTGACTTTAATGTTAAAAATTGAAGATAACTCCTAATCTCCTTCAAAAACACAAAAGCGTCTGACTACCGTCTCATGTATTTCAGTTTATCTATTTATCTACTATATCACATTTTCATATATATATATTTTCATTATTATTGCTTACCACTTCTGGAAAATTGTCTATACGCATAGTCTGTAAGTCCTCACGAAAGAGCCCGCAATAGCGGTAACCGCCAACAATTGGAACATAAACAACATGGTAAACGTTCCAATGCCAATGTTGTCAGCATGGCATCAGCTTCCACTTCGAAAAGCCGTGGCGAACAACATTCGAAATCAACATTGGAATCGATTAAAATCCATCATCCGGAAACGTATAACAAATATCAACGCAGTTCCCACGACTATGACGACAGTCATCATATGGTTGACGACGATGATGCCAGTAGTGTGGAATGTGAAACGAACAAAAATTCCAATAGTCTTTTGGATGTAAAGAAATTGAAATTGTCTTCTTTCTCCCGCCATTTTTTTTAATTTTGTAGATTTGTTTTCAGTTTTTTATATGTTTTTTTTTTTTGTTTTTGGTAGTCAGACGCTAAAATATTTTTTTTAGACTTCTTTGGGAGGAGAGAAATGGACGCTTTCATGTATGCCAACATTCACTCTCCTCAAAAATTAAAGCGCCTGACTCCTTTATGGTTTTTGCATTATTTTGAATATTCTTTTATCTAGTCCAAAGTTACACCTTGAGGAAGGCACATATTTCGGGTTTCAATAGTCGCTTGGACGTAAAGAAATTTTATTTTGAACATTTAAATTTTCAAATAAAATTTTACAAAAATTCTATATAATTCTTTAAAAATGATACCTCAAGAGCCCTAAATTGCTATGAGAAGAATGTGACCTAACGTCTCCGTGATGTTCTTAGGTTCTTCCAGGCACCCTTAAATCTAGTGGCGTCTTAAATCTAGTGGCATAAAACATTTAGAACAAAATTTTATTTTACCGATTGAAAGAAATGTGACTCGATCTTAGCAATACCAAAATAGTCAAATTAGTCGTCATTTTCACAGAACCCTACTTATGTGCCGTTCCTATTTATATGAAGATAGCGTCGATAGAGGCAACCTTAATAATCTGAACTCGTCTTTCATAAACAACTAGATTGGCCACGATACCTTAGGTTTCTTTATTATAATGTCCGAGTTGATTTTAACGATCTCTGCCTCTAAGTCCAGTCTCAAAAAGGACGCAACCTGTAAGGTTTGCTGGACAGCGAAATAGGTGCAGCGTGTCATGTGGACTTGTGCCTCAAGCTGGTCAGATGTTCTGCACATCGCGATCATCCGGATCTCAACTGAGCCAAAGCTACTCGTGTTTGTCGGGGCAGCTTTCGCTCTTCAGCTGCGATGGGAGAGTAGGGTGTTGTTGCAAAAGCTACACATATTTTGTTAGAATTCTGCTAATCCGGTTCTGACTCCAGCCTTAAAAATGTGACTACCTTTGCGAGCTCTAACCAAAGATCTTTTGGGCAACGAAAGAGGTGACTATATCAGTATGAAAGCCACTCAAACCTGTCTTAAAGGCTTCTGGATCTATAGGTTCTCTCTCTTATAGCTCTGAACATCCCTCTCTAGATCATGTATGTCCTTCCTGACACGCTTGGGTAGGGGGAGTTTTATACACCATATGGTTTATATGACTCCCACGATAACACACAAGCAGGTGGTTATGCTGAAGCGAAGCGACCTTCACCTCCTCCTATCGCAGTTCTTGGGGCACCATTCCGGCACACTTTCATGTTCTTCCACTGCGTACCACTTGTATTCGCAGACCACACTGTAACCGCCTAGCTGACCACAGACACTCTCTGTGCCCGTACCTCAAGTGCTGCCGGAGTACGGTGTAACTTCTTTTCATTTTGAGGCAGATAGATATGGCTTGCGCGGACGACATAAACGGATTAAATTTCCCTCGGATTAAATTTCCCTCATCTCCGCAGATCATGTTGATTTAGTGCGGATATTTTCATATTCGTCGCGTAAACAGGGTGAGATAAAAAACTGCAACAAACTCAAACGCAAACCGAATGTTGCTGGCCGAATTTTGCTCTGCGGTATTTTGGCCCATTCCCGGCGAAGCGCTTGCTTGAGGTAATCGACACTTTGTTTTTTTTTTTTAGTGGCAACCTTGCTTTCCAAAATACTCCAGACACAATAGTCCAATGGATTGGTATCTGGAGATTTTGGTGGGCATTGTGCGCTGGAAATGAAGCGAGGAACCACATTTTGTAGCCATTCTTGGGTGGCGCGTGCTGAGTGCGATGTTGAGTCCTGTTGGAATGTCTAAGGTATGCGGCCAAAATGTTTGCGTGCCCCAGAATTATTCTGATGCCACGTTCGATTAAAATTAGCAGAGAGCGACAATCGGCTGTTATAGCGGCCCACACCATCACCATGTCCGGCGCTTGAGTTCTGGTAGCCAAGCGAAGGTGCACACTTTCAGCTGACCTCTTTGGCAAGTAAACACGATCATTTTGTTTGTTTACAAACTGCTGGACATTGAATGCTTTCTCATTGGAGAAAACCAAATTCTGCAGTTCACCACTTCCGGCCAAGCGAAGCAACTCTTTAGCTTTGAGTCTATTTTCTTTCTGCTGGGTGTTAGTTTTTAAACTTTTTGGAATTTAAATGGCTTTACCCCGAGCTCATTTTTTCAATATTTGCCGAATGGAATATTGTTATGTTCAGCTAACCAGCCATTTCTCGGCCACTGGTTTCGATCAAATCGCTTCTTTACTTTTCGAACCATTTCTGCTGATGTTGCTGTTTTCTTCCGTTCACTTCCTTGACGTCGGGCTACGCTACCAGTATCACGGTAACGTGCGTGGTACGAGACACAAACGATTTATTCACATTTCTGAATAAATGCTGGAGTGCTCTAACGATAGCCACTTGTGGTTTTCCAGTCAAATATAAACAAATCACGCTTTAATTCCATTACGAATAACTTCTTTACTGGAAAATTCTGAAAATGCTTTTGTACGCTTGTAAACAATATAATGAGCTGTCACCGGAATAATTTTAACAGCTGTCGGCCGAGAGGCTTGGAAATGACAGCAGTCTGAAGTTGGTTGCAGTTTTTTCATCTCACCCTGTATGTATACATACGATATGTATGTAACATATGTATACATACGAGGATCATCTTTTAAGCTGCAACTACAGTCCAAATCCCATTAATACTCAAGGAGAAGGAGTCAGTTACTTATCAGAAAGTACCGATGTCTTCCAAATATTGGTGTTTAATTGGAATTATGTTTGTGGTCACAAGGCTCTTTCAATAAAAAATTAAGAGCAAATTAAATGTATGGAAGTTAATGGATCGTCAGAAATCTTCAAAAAAACACGATATTAGGTCTTCTTTAAATGGATGCGATAGGAAAACACTAATTTTACGTTTGTTTTCATTGCCTATATTTCAAATCACAATATGTCTTTTCATAGAACACTTTGTTGTCAGAGGGGCTTACTGACCGACGGGCCTTATATAGGCCAAGTTAGACTCTTTTTTTACTTGAATTCAATATTTTGAAATAAATGGCTATTTTCGTTCGCATTCAAAAAGCCCCTTGAAGTTATTTTGTAATTATTATTGTAGTATTATTTCTTATAATTCATTTCTTATTCTCGAATGTTAGAATTGCCCCGATTTTTTTTTTGAATATACCCATATTTTTTATTAAGACTTTTTTTATATTATTTTCGTTTATTTATATTTTAAGCTTTATTTTTAAATCTTTATTATTTATTTTATTGTTTTTTTTTATATTATCAAAATCTCATCCTTTTCCCTTTTTTTCTCTGTCTTTCTTTGACTTTCTACAGAACAACAATTTAAAACAACTTTTAAATGATCCCAATGTGCTAAGACAATTGCAAACTTTGCAAAATTTTACAAAATTCAAACAAGATGACAAGCAGCACAATTTGCGCATGCAAGAAGAGGCATTTGAAAAACATTTACAAAATGTTCTGAAGGTAAGATGATCTTCACTTTTCTGTTATTCAGTAATTTCAACAACAAAAAAAGATATTGTAATGGATAATTTTTAATATTAAATATTTGTTTTATTCTGTTTATTTTATCTGTATTTACAGAGCTCCGCCGCTGGACCTTCCAACCAAGAGTCCAAAGAAGTGGAATTTGTTTCTGAAGAAGGCATTGAGGTATGTCGCAACACATTTGTTTTTCTTTTCAATGAGCAAAATATATATGTGTGTATGATGGTTGAATATGGGCCAATTAGGGAGCGTAAACATTACATTCCGATAATGAATGGCCGGCTTGTCTCTCTATATCCACAAAGAAATGATAGAAATATACAATTCCAAATGGGGTTTGCAAATTTATTATACCCTCAGCTATAGTGCCTAGTCGATTTTTTTTTTTTTTTTTTTTTTTTTTTTTTTTTTTTTTGGACCAAATCCGTTTCCTGACATTTGGAGTCGATCTAGCGATGTCCGTAGGTCTGGTTGACTGGTGCGCACGATAACTCTCGAAGGGAGTATCCGATTTTATACAAACTTGGTACATCGTAATATTATTGTCAAACTTAGATCAAGTTTGGAGATGGACAATATCGGTCAACTCCTTTTGGTACCTCCCCCACAAAATGTCAACATTTGCAAGGAAAATAATTTACTGCGCAGTAAGACAAAGGACATCCGATTTTGCTTCAACTTTGCAAATCCTAATATTTGCATCAGTTCTAGGTCAAATGCAAAAATGGACAATATAAGTCCACTCCATCAAGTACCTCCCCCACAAAGGGTCAAAATTTTGAATATTCATGAAGCTCATAAAACACGAAATTAACATCCGATTCCATTTAGACTTGATAAAATATGTAATATTTCAATAAACACAAGATTTGTTATAAAGATATGTTACAAATCGGACCACTTCTTCTGCTACCTCCCCCACAAAAGGTTCAAGATTTTTGAAAAACAACTCTCTTCAAATTTCACATATCCATACATTTTCAATATCTGTTGTGAAGATGTATCACACCTCACCCAAAAAGGGTCAAAATTTCCAAAAATTTATATCTGTCATAACTTGCGAAAAGATCGGTGATTTTTTACAACTATATAGACATAGCTATATCAGAAATCTGATATGAATATTTTATTTATCGAAATTTATGATTTTACATAAAATTGGATATAAATGTTCGATTTCCTTCAAATTTTGCACATACCAATATTTTAATCTGTATTAGATGAAGTATGAAAATGGAATATTTCGGTCCGCTGTATCTGTTACCTAATGCATATTTCCACATTTATCAAAATTTACACATATCTCATATAAAATGAAGGAAGTACTCGATATAGTCCAAACCGCAATATTTGTATCATATTTATTTAAGTCCATTACGAAGTGGACAATATTGGTCTATTCCTTCAGAACCATCTACTCTATAGATGGTCAACAATTTGACACTCGAACAATGGCTGAGGGTATACTTTTGTCGACTGATACTTTTTGACTTGTTTTTTGTTTTTTTTTTTAATCAAATAGACAGTTTTAAAAAAATATTGAGAATCTTATTTGAAATAGTATTTTTATTCGCATTCACTTTCGTGGCGTCATAGAGAAACAGGCCCTAAATGCATAGGATTTTAATTGCCTACCCAATATTTAAAATTGTAAAATCCTTTGCTTTGGAACTCGGAGAAAATCGAAAGAAAATTTATTTCTTAAAAACTTTCTGATTTATATTTTCAAACAATAAATAACTTGTGACTATAAAAGTTAAATCCCCGCCATATTCAACTCTTACATACATAAATATTTATTTTAATTTCTATATTTTCTCAAGTGAACTTAAAAAGAAATTAGCTAATATTCCACCATAACAACCACTAATAGATAATGGATAACTTTTTGGAAAAAGTGTTTTTTAAGTTCACTTGATTTATTGTTTTACAAAAAAGGCAAAGAAACTCATCCATTAACACGATAAAACGAAATTATTGCTGGTGGAATTTGTAAAAAAAAAACGTGAGAATAGAAATTCAAAAAAAAAAAAAAAATATTATCCAGTAATAATATCGGTTTATCTGTGCTGACGTGCAGTTGTAAATGTGAATAGAAATTTGAATACAAATGATAGCTTGAAAATAGAAGAAAAAGAAGACCACAGCACTTATAGCCGCCAATGTTGTGAAATTCAAAAAAAGGAAAATGTAAAAACCAAACTTAAACTATAGGAGAGGCAGACAAATAAATGACAAAGCAATTAAATAGAACAAAAGGGCAAAAATAATTCTTTCAACTATTTTTGAAGCATGAAACTCGAAGAGGAGGAGTCCAATCAAAGATGATCCCAAGATTGTTAAATCCATGAAATCTATGGAAATTCATAAACAAATAATGGAAACGTATTTTGTAAATCACTAACTACCACATTGCAAAATTCACAATATTTAAATGTTAGCTTAGGATGCAGATTAAAACTTGAATACTTTTTTTATGCTAAATATTTATATATGTATATGGCGACGGAATTTCAAATTAAAAAAAAAAACAAACAATACAACTAGCAAAGGTAAGGCAATTAAGAAATTCCATGGGATCTGAAGGCATAGCAACGTTTGCATTGAGACAGCAGCTGGTAAGTTTCAAAATAACAACAAACAAACAAACAAAAATATTAATTGATATCAACTACAATTCACTTGAAAAACAAAAAAAAATTGCTCAAAAATATATCCAATACAAGGATGATATAAAAAAAGAACACGAAAAGCCAAAGCCAAATGCCATAATAAGAAATCCCAAATCAAATAATATAGAGGGTTATTTTTATTAAAGCCAAGTTTATAGTTGTATGTAACAAACGAAAGAAACAAGCAGCACACACGTCAACACCGAACGAACGAACGAACGTACGAATGAACGTCTGTCTATCAAGCGACAAGCATAAACCAACAAGAGTAGTTTTGTTCTCTACCAGAACATCTAAGCAATTTCCTGCCCGCCCCTTCCCCTTCACTTTTCCTCTACCATATTCCCCTCCCCTTCCCGATTTCTTTCTTTCTTTCCTTCCATTATTCACTACAAAATGTTTCACCAAGTTTTTTTTTACATTATTTTCTTTTTCGTCATATTTTTTTCTTTTCTAAACATTTTCTTTAAATTTAGGTTATCAACTTGGATGGCAATGACTCGCGCAGTCCCACCCCAGATCGGGATCGTTACAAGAGACGTCGCAGCCGTAGCCGCAGCCGTTCCAGGGATCGTGGTGGACGTCGTGGCCGACGCAGTCGTTCCCGTTCTCGCAGTCGTTCGCCACGCTCGAATAGGCGACGCACATCCAGGGATCGTGAGCGCAGCAATCGTGACAAGGAAAAGGATCGTGAGCACGAACGTGAACGTCGCAAGAAGGGTCTTCCAGACATCAAAAAGGAGCATTTGAGTGGTAAATTTCACATTTGTTTCACGGCATTACTAATGTTTTCATATTTCGCTTTTCAGGCTAAGCAAAACTAGTTCAAACAATTTCAAAGTAAATCTTTTTTTTTTTTCGTTTTGAGAAAGAGAGAAATGAATGGGGAAGTAAAGACGGCGATATTTAAAAATTTAAACATTTGAAAAACTGTTGTTTTTCTTTTGCATTCATATTCGTGTCGACATGGAGAAAACGGGTGCAAACTGGAAAATTCGCTCACCAAGTTTTAAATTGAGTTGAGATTTTTTTTTGGAAAAAATTAAACTCCCGCAGAAAAAAATTAAATCTCGTTGTTCTTTGCAATTGATCGAATTTGGGCTGACTTTGAAATTGTTTGAATTTTAAATAAAGGCTTTTGAAAAGTCAAAAATATATCTATTTTTGACTTTTTGAAAGACATTCTCAAGTTCCGGATTGAGACATATGTACTAATGCTACCATTGTGACAAGGGGAGTCCTTCAAAATTAAAAAAAAGATTAGCAAAGTGCAAATGTATCATCCACATACATGGAACTTGAAATCGTTACTTGTGTGCCGACTTGAGCACAATTAACGATATATACAGTTCTATCGTTTCTGTACCCCACAACTAATCTTTTTTCTTCTTTTCCTTTTTGCAGTTTTGGTGGATCTTGAAAATGACGTGTATTCAACAATCCCTTCTTCTTCTTCTTGGTTCTTGTTTGCTTGCTTTATAGACGACAGTTTAAATAGTGTTTTTTTCATTCGTGTGTGTGTGTACGTGTGTGCGTGCGCGCGCTCGACGTGGTTTCTTTAATTATGCAACAATGGCATTTGGTTCTTATCCTTAAACGAACACACTTATTATTGAGCAATTTTCATAGCGAGTTGTTGAGAGAGAACACGGCGTAGAGAGAATTGGCGGGCCCAAAATCGGCTTTCCCGCTTGGCTACGAAAAAAATTTTATAGGCGAAACAAGAATTTTGCGAATTTACTATCGTAAAGAGCCGGTCATCATAAAGGGGAATAGGACTCGAAATCGACTTTCCGGTGTAGTTAAAAGCTTGGCTCAAAATCACGATTTTACGAATGAATTTTGCAGGCGAAACAATGTTTTGCGAATTCGCGATCGTAGAGAGCTTTTCATACTATCGGCTTTCCGTGTTATTTAAAGCTTTGCCCAAATCATGTTTCACTATCGGAATCAACTTTCCGGTGTAGTTAGAAGATTGGGTCAAAATCACGATTCTACGAAGCAAAAATTTGCGAATTCACTATCGTAAAGGACGACCGTTTGTTGTAAAGAGAATGGGACTTAAAATCGACTTTCCGGTATAGTTAGAAGATTGGGTCAAAATCACGATTCTACGAATGAATTTTCCAAGCGAAACAAAGATTTGCGAATGCGCGATAGTAGAGGGCAGTTCATCGTAAAGAGAATAGGACTAGAAATAGATTTTCTGGTGTAGTTAACGGCTTTGTCCAAATCACGATTCTACGAAGCAAAAATTTCCAAATTCATTATCGTAGAGGGCAATTTACCGTAAAGAGTTAGTAGATTGAATATTCCCAGCGAAACAAAGATTTACGAATTCGCGATCGCAGAGGGCAGTTCATCGTAAAGAGAAACGGTACTCAAAATCGGTTTTCCGTGATATTTAAAGCTTTCCCAAATCATGATTCTACGAAGCAAAAAATTGCGAATTCACTATCGTAGAGGACGACAGTTCGTCGTAAAGAGAATATGACTCGAAATCAACTTTCCGGTGTAGTTAGAAGATGGGCTCAAAATTACGATTCTACGAATAATTTTTCTAGGCGAAACAAAAGATTTGCAAATTCGCGATCGTAGAGTGCTTTTCATCGTAGGGGGGAAGAGGACACTCAAAATCGGCTTTCCATGTTATTTAAAGCTTTGCCCAAATCATGATTCTACGAAGCAAATATTTGCGAAACCCCTATCGTAGAGAGAATAAGACTCCGAAATCGACTTTCCGGTGTAGTTAGAAAATTGGCTCAAAATCAAGATTCTACGAATGAATTTTCTAGGCGAAACAATGATTTCATTGTTCATTGTAGGATATGAGAATATAGGACTCGAAATCAATTTTCCGATGTATTTAAAAGCTGTGTGCAAATTTGTACGATTGTACGAAGTAAACATTTGCGAATTTACTATCCTAGAGAACGACAGTTCGTCTTTAAGAAAATAGGGCTAGAAATCGACTTTCCTGTGAAGTTAGAAGATTGGCTCATAATCACGATTCTACGAATTCGCTAAAGTAGAGAGCTTTTCATCTTCGAGAGAATAGGGGACTCAAATTATATTTACGATATTTCAAGAACGTTAATATTTACGTTATTTGAACGATGTGGATGTTTTTATTTACGGCATTGGATATAGCAGATGACATATTTCCAACGTGGATACTACATTTACGTTCTTTGAGCGTTTTAAATGAAGCATTGGGTCCACAATTTTGTTGATATCGTAAATACTAAATATTTGTTTTGTTTAGTTAACATAAATGTTATATTTACGATATTTGAATGACGTTAATATTTTATACACGGAAATATAAAGATGTGGATATTGGATATTGACGATACTTTATAAATCCGGAAATTTTTATATCCACCTAGCCATATGTCTAGAGAGGGTAGGGTATATATCTTTTAATGCGACCAAAACGTGCCTCATCGAATCTATGGTTTTAGACCCGAGGTCTCTTTGGACTAAGTACGTTTCAGGAAATTTACAGTCTGTCTGGTTGGTTGTTGCGCACCATAACTCTCGAAGGGGGAGTACCCGATTTGATTCAAACTGGATACATTGTAATATTATTATCAAACTTAGATCGAGTTCGGAGATGGGCAATATCGGTACTCTCCTTCTGGTACCACCTCCCCCATAAAATTTCAACATTTTCAAAGAAAACAAATTACTGCACAGAAAGAGAAAGGATAATCCGATTTTGCTTTGATCGTTGCAAATCCTAATATTTGCATCAGTGCTAGGTCAGGTGCGAAAATGGACAATATCGGTCCACTCTATTTCCGAATAAGGATCCCATATATATTTTTCATCCGATTTGTTATTTTTGTCCTCCGCAGCCGTAATATGCACTCTGTAACAACGATATTTGGGGAAATATATCAAATACAGCTCAGAAATACTTTTGCATAATTTTATTGAGATCGGTTCAGATTTGGAAATAGGTCCGATTTGCCTTATTCGGCACCAAACGTATAATATTGGCCCTAATGGTATGGAATTTGGCACTTACAACCGAATAGAGTCTAGAAATATGTATGTCAAATCTTGTGAAAATCGGTTCATATATAGCTATAGCTCCCATATATATTGTTTATCCGATTTGTTGTATTTGTTCTCCACAGCCGTAATATGCACTCCTTAACAACAATAGTCGGGGAAGAATATCAAATACAGCTCAGAAACACCTTTGCCAAATTTTATCGAGATCGGTTCAGATTTGGATATAGCTCTCATATATATATCTTTATTGTGCACCAAATGGGTAGTACAAGCCCGAATTGGAAAGGCATAGTTGCCTCGGCAAGTCTAGTAGACATTGATTCAGGGGAGGATATTGCTCTCATATATTAGTGAATAACATATTACGGTGTTCTGATAATGTGGGTAAAACATTTTCTATGTTTTCATAACGTGGTTAAAAAATTTCCCATTTTTTGATAATTTGAATAATGAAGATATTATTTTTACGATATTCTATGTTTCCATATATTATGATTACGATATTTTACTGAAGTGGTCATTTGAACAACATTTAAGTGCCGTGAATAAATTTACGATATTTGAATTTGTCGCAATTTTAATATTGTATTGATGTATTCGACGGTACAACTTAAAATATTTCATCACATTAGTCCTAAGACTGATTCCTGGCGTTTCGTCTCCGGAAGTATATTGTTTACAGATCCCTGATTCGGCTTGTGGTGTTATAAACAATATTTAAACATTGTTAACTTAAGCAGAACCAACCAACTTAACTCTTTTCGATATTTTCCACTGCACGTCATTTTCCTGAGTACCCACCAATTGCATGTTATGTTTCGACTGAGATTTCCAAAAACTAAATATTTAAAATGCCATTCTATTTTGTTTTTCCCTTTTTTCAGTTTGCAGTACAACACTATGGGTTGGTCACCTCTCCAAACTGGTTTACCAAGAAGAATTATCCGATACTTTCGGCGAATATGGTGACATCGTGAGCATAGATCAAATCGTACCACGTGGTTGTGCATTCATTGTCATGAATAGACGCCAAGACGCTTACAAGGCTATGCAATGCCTAAAGAATCACAAGTTACAGGGTCGAGCCATAACCATTTCGTGGGCAGCCGGCAAAGGTGTCAAGAGCAAGGAATGGAAAGACTTTTGGGACTTGGAGTTGGGTGTTACGTATATACCATGGAGTAAATTGGACGAGAATACCGATTTCGATGCTCTGGAGGAGGGTGGTATGTTCGATGAAGACTCCATGCCACCGTGGATGAAGGAGAAAAAACAGACACTGAAAAATCTACAGGATAAGGCAAAGGAATCGGCCGGAATTGCCGGTATTAACTTGCCTGGTGTCCCCAATATTCCTCCGCCCGGAGGCAATCCTCCGTTGCTGTTTAAAATCGATACAACACAACCACCACCAGGCCCTCCGCCAACAGGTGCTCCGCCACCAATGATGCCAATGGTACCTGGACAGTTTTCAATGGCTCCGCCACGCATGATGGGCGCCCCTCACATGGGCATGCCCATTTCAGGGCTACACATGCCACCGAATATGGTGCCCCCACATGCCGCAATGATGATGATGCCTGGCTTTGGCATGCCGGGACAAGTTCCGCCCACAGGTGGGCCGCCTCCGATGGGTCCACCTCACATGCCACCCATGGGAGCACCTCAGCACCGACACACGGCCCAATATCCTCCACCAATGGGCAGTGCTCCGCCCGCAGCGCCCTTGCCAGCTGCCGCCAATGTTTCCAGTGATGATCAAATGGACATTGAAATGGAAGATGAGGAAGGCGCCACACAAACTGATTCAGCAGCGCCCACCCATATAGGAGGTAATCCTCTGAACTTTAACCAACCACCGCCAGCTTTTGGAGGCAATGAGAATCCCTCAGGAGCGAATCCCAATGCCGGTGACAACTATGGTCGTGGTGGCGACCGTAACCGTGGTGGTGGTGGAAACAATGGTCCAGGAGGTTCAAGATGGGGTGGAGGTGGCCGCGGTGGTGATGATGACGGCGGTAAAAAAGACGGCGGAAGATGGCGTGAAAACGGCGCAGGCGGCAACAATGGCCCCCCTCAACATTTTGGCGGAGATGGAGGCGGACGCAATAGGCCAGATTTTATGAATGGTATGTTTGATTTTCTTCGTATACTGAATGCAGGTTTAACACATTGCCTTTTTGTTATTTGAATAGATTTTGATAATAGAGGTGGTGGCCCCCGTGGCCCTGGCGGAAATAACTTTAATGGTGGTGGTGGAGATTTCCATCCCAATATGCAAAATCGTTTCAACCAGCCCAACAATTTAATGCAAATGCGCATTCCGCCGCCAAATGCATTTAATCAAAGGGGAGGAGGACATGGTGGCCCCGGAGGTCCACCCATGTTTATGCGAGGTCAAGGTCAGGGTGGACCTGGCGGACCACCAGGCGTACGTCAACAGGGACCAGGTAAGCACATGAATATACAAAAGAATTGGAAGAGATGCCATTTACATTTTCCGTTTTTTTAGGTTTCTTCAACCGGAACAATGCCTTTGATCGTGGAGGAGGCGGCGGCGGTGGTGGCGATATGGGGGGTGTAGGCTTTGGAGGCCGCGGTGGACGAGGCGGTCGGGGAGGACGAGGTGGTGGAGGCCGCGGCGGCGGTGCCATGGGTAGAGATGCCGGTGCTCCCAACTGGAGTGATGAAGAAGGCGATGACAATGGCTTCAAGAGACGTGGTGGCGGAGGTGGTGGAAATCGTTTCCGAGATCGTGATGACATCCGCGAGCGAGGTGGTCGCGGTCGAGGTGGCCCTGGCGGCCCGGGTGGCAGAGATAGAGACCGAGATGGTGGCCGAGATAGGGATGGTGGCCGAGATAGGGATGGTGGCCGAGATAGGGATGGTGGCCGTGACAGAGATCGTGAACGGGATCGTGATAGCCGAAGCAAGAGTAGAGGCGTTTCGCAAGAAAGCAGTCGGCGCGCTTCGCGGGACGACAGGAAAACATCAAAACCGCCAGTCAGTGACACTGAGGAGGATTGGGACAAAGAATTGGATGATTTCCAAGGAAAGAACGACAAAAAGGCCAATGAAAACAACAGCCGACGAAATTCAAATTCTAAGGATGATGACAAAGGAGGTGATCGTGATCGCAGCAATAACGCCTTTAAGGGAGGCCCTAAAAATAAATTTTCTAAATTTGACGATAAAGATAACCGCCGCAGCAAATCGCAGGACCGAGAAACACCCATGAAAGTTCAAATGGGTAACAAAAAAGTAGATCCGGATGAAGAAAACTGGGACGATGAGGAAGACGTCAATCGTCCGTTGGCGGCCAGTGAACAACCCGAACAAAAGAACGAGGAACCCACACAATCGCCGACAATGACGAAGCCGGTGTTTTCCGCACAGCCGGAAGCCGCTGAGAAAAAAGGAGGAAGTGATGATATGGCTGATGGTGGTTCTGCTACCATGAGTAGTGGTGGTACTACTCAGGAAGCCGAAAAGATTGCTCCTTCATCCACAGATGCAGTGGCGGCGAACGATGAGAAGAGAAATGAAAGCAAACAACCAACACCACCACCACAATCACAGCCACAGCCATCGGCAACAGTACCAGAAGTCTCTGAACCCCCTGCAAAAACGTCCGAAGTTTCATCTGAACAAGCTGCCGAAGCAGCAGCCCCTACTGCTGCTGCAACTGAGTCAGATAAAGTCGAAACCACAGAAAACTAATTTTCTGGCTAATGGATGGTAGACAACAACAACAATATTCGAGATTTTAACTGTATATTACTGTTTTACGACGACGACGACGACCGACGTCTGTCCGGAGGAGGAATAAAATGGGTCATGTTCAATCATTAAACTGAGCTCCCAACACCACCACCCACACACACAAATACCTACGAATTACAAACATTAACATAAAATAGTGGTGTCGTTCATTATCAACAAAATGAATATACACAAAACACACACACACCCATACATATATTGTAATAGATAACTTTTTCTAAGAGGAGTTTTCTACAAACATTGTAGATTTAATTTATATAGTATATATATTTTCCATTTTTTAGCCCGAATAACTTAATTTCACGTTTTTTAACTGTTTGTAAAGAACAAATAATATTCCCAGAGAAAAAAGTGTATTTTTTTTTCCAAGGCATAAATGTGTTAGAAATTCATTCGTTCATTGCCTGCCTGCCACCAGCATGCAACTCTACCCGCCTGGTCCCACACTCCGTTAAAGCCAATTGCAATTGTTCCATGGAAAATATTGAGAAATTCTCAATTGCAGAACTCATTGAGGCAAAACAAAAAGAAAAAACAAGTAGAAGAAGATAAAACAAACTAAATAATGTAACACTAACACATTGTTTTAATCATTTCTTTATTTAAGATCTATATCATAGTAATTTCCTTATTACAATTTTATTTAACGCATATTAAGATCATTTTTCTCTCACTCTCTCTCCCTCTCGCTAATCTGTATCAATTCAACACTCACCACAATGTAGAGATTGTGGGAGAACAAGAGGAGAAAACGAAATTCAAAATTACATTTTTAGATCACGCAAAACATTGAGAATTAGTTATTCACAATTAAAATAAAAGAACAACAACAAAAAACAATTTACTATAAATATTGTAACAAGTAATAAAACACGAAAGTCGTATAGAATATAAATGTTTTTGTTTTGGTAGTTTATTTTTGGGTCAGGAGAAGTGGGAAATGGTGCACAAGAAAAACCTAATGCCCAGTTATAATAGGTTTACACTTACTAATTTTTGTGGATGTTAACTCTCAATTCCATTGCGCATACGTCAAATAAAATTTACTCAAATCCAATGGATTTTATTTGACGTATGCGCAATGGAATTGACAGTTGCTACGTGTGTGTAGGGCACTCTAACATATGTTTGATAGATGTTTTATATATGGGAGCTTTGTGTAGAGCCTATAAAAAGCAGCAACTTCGCAGATTTTATCTCCAAGATAATGTAGGTAAACTTTTTGGTATAGACGCCCATGTAACAGTGCTTTTTGATTTTCGGTAATTCTAAGGGCTAGAAATAACCGATTTGGTTATAAGTCTAATTTTCGAATGGTGGAGGCTAATAGTATTTTTACATAAAAGCTTTTTTCGGGTTATCTCTTGACTCAATAAAGCCATGTTTATGTTAGAGCTTTTTCCGGGGTTGACCTTTATGATTTATTTGAGGTATAGGCAATGGAATTGACATTCTAAACTGACTGGGTTTTCTAAGTCCCTTACAACATAAACGCACTATAAGAAAGGTTGCCCAACTTCAAAGAGACTAGAAAAATGCAACTCTGTGTGGGAGTCTTATTGTGTCAAATAGATTTTTAAATATGCAACAGTTGGTTCAGTTGTGTTGCCCATCAACATCGAAAGTATACATTTATTTTGCAACCGAATTTGAAATAATTTCAAATTATTATATTTTTTTCAAAACAATGCACTCAGATACACAAAATGTGTATATGTTTTGACAGAATAAGGCTGCAAATACATAAAAAGCTTGAAGTCATGGCTAGGCATATTAATGCCAAATTATAATGAAAAAAGACGGCAGGATTTTAGTGCGGCTCTGTAATACCTTTGTGAAATGTCACAAAATAGGCCGTGCCATGACTTCAAGCTTCTTATGTACTTAGCCCTTAAGGGCACCAAAAGAAAAAATGTACCTCCTAAGCTTTGTTCTACCTTCTGTAACTGTGCCATAGGTTATTCCATGTTATCAGCGTGTTTTGACAGTGTTTTTCCTTGTTAGCCGTAATGATATCCGAACACTGAGAGCAATGTATCTCACATGGTAGAAGAATGCATCGCTTGGGATCATTAATATCTCAACATTTTTAAAATATTTATTCAAAAATAAATAAACTTTAAATGAAATGTTATTTAAATTAGTAAAATTGTTTGTATACGAATTGGTGTTGTATAAGAAAACGTATAAAAATCTACCTATTGTTGATGTCAAAATGTTGACATTTCAATATTCCCAAGCTTTGATGCATCTACCTGTATTCTTCTACCATGGTATATCCCAAGGAAACGCTGTCTGGAGTTTTCTATACCAAGACAGAAAAAACCCTAAACCTTTCCTTTTTATCAATGGAGTTATATTTATTAACCTAATCGATAATTTCTTTCTTGTGTTGTAATAGTAATAATTAAACACACATACAACTTTTTTATACTGTTCTTAAATTCAATTCTCCATATTTGAGATCGCTTGTCCCATGCAAGTTCAATCAGCCTTGTTAATTGTTCCTAGTTCCTAGGAACAATTTTTTTGAAACTAGTTCATGGGTTCTTTTCAGTGAGTTTTTGAAGTGTTTTGCTGAAATGACATGAAAACGCTCTTTTCCCCCTTTCCTATGAAATATTTCAGTGTCTGTCACAAAAACGTTCAAGATAAAAGGTACTTTTACCTTGTTCTACTGTCTGTTCCCCTACAAATGCATTGCTTTAGGGTTATTATTCTGTTTTTGAATATAACGTTCTATTTAATAAGTTGTGTTGTTGTCTTGTTCTTACGACGACTCCGGCCCAGTGTTGCCACGTCGTACTTTAAATAATTGCAAAACTGATAAAAGAATTGTTTTTTTTTCTTCTGATGTCTTCAAAAACATTCGATGTGTTTTAATTTACGTAGAGTAGGATTGATGACTCGCACCTTGGACCGACACATGAAAAGTTCAATAAAACTTTGAAGTATTAATCATAGTTTTAAAAAAAATTAACGTGTATATATTGAAGTTATATTTTATATTACTTGTTGTATAGAATTGATATAAAATGAATTTAAGTTTATTTTTGTGCTAAATAGCAATTTTTATAAAAAATACTATTTTTTTATAAAAAAATAGTATTTTTTATTAAAAAAAAGAGAAAAAAGACTTGTGTGTAATTTCCCCCAAATGTGTAATATTTCAATCCTCCATGGGTAATATGTAGTTTCAATTGTGGCAACACTGCTCCGACAAGACACAACACAAATTTGCTATTTTCTTTCACTTTTAAACAAAGGAAAGAAAGAAATTGTTGACAAACTAAATCAAGGTTTGTCTGTAGACAAAATTGATGTGTGGCCAGTGTATTTCAGTTTTATTGTTGGTTGATTTTGTTACCTGAGCAAAGGAAAAGGACAATATCAAATCCCGTTCTTTTAACAACCAACACCAAGATAATCGACAGAGAATTTAGAGCAGCTGGAAAGGAAGAACAATAAAATCATGGGTAGGTAAATGATGATGACGAAAATAGATCAATTCTCGACAAGCAACCGCGAAAGCAGCATCGCAGCAGATAGCATTGCAGAAGAGAAGAATAGAATTTGCAATTTGCGAATTAATTGGCAAACTCAAACAAAAATGTGGCAAATGTTCTGCGAAGTCTCCAATTTAAAACCATTTTCCCATTTTACAGATAGACCCAACTACAGTATAGTCAATGGAAAGGCTTTCACTGAGGACAATGTATTGGTGTACAACATCTTTGTCTACAACATTCCACACAAGGTATGTTATGTTTTGGGTGCATTTGGTGGCAGCCGGCATTAATGTTTTTCTTTGTTTGTGTTTGCCCATTGCAGACCACAGAGCGCCAAATATTGGATTATTTCAAGAAATTTGGGGAAATAAAAAACGTGCGCTTGATAAATGATAGGAAACGCAAAAACATCCATCAGGCCCACAAAATTGGCTTCGTTAATTTCGTGGATCCAACTGTTGCAGCCAAGTAAGCATAAACCACTTTTTTATTAGGGATATTACCAGCTTTAAAAACTTATGACGCAGACTAAAAGTTTCGCCATGTTGTGAAATTGTACAAGAATAAATTCCGATTATTTGGGGGATTTACCCGTTGTCATGAAGAGCAATTTAACAAAAAAAAAAAAATTATATTTAATTGTTTCCTAGCTCTAATTCAATTATTTATTTCTTCCAGGGTCTTACAAGACACCAATCATTGCATTAACAAAAAAAGAATACGCGTGCGTGCCTGCGACAGCTGGCATCAACCCGATGCCCAGGCACACTCGACCAAAGATGCCAGTGGCGAAGATGTGGATACGAAAAACTCCTCCAAGGACAGTATCGATGAGTCTATTTCTATACTTAATCTAAACGACGACTGTTTAGAGTTGATATTTAAACATTTACCCATGAAGGACAAAATACAATTGGCCCGTTCGTGTAGTCGCCTACGAAACATCTTTGAGATGCATTCGAAAATCGAATACAAGCGCTTCGCTTTATGTGATTTGGATAATTTGACGCTGTGGCAAACTCGACAATTTCTTGAAATGGCTGGACCACAAATCGAGAGATTGGATGGTCAGGTTCCCTATAAACAGGTTAATCGCATTATGGAATTTTTGGGTCTATTCTGTACGAATGTGAAAACGGTATGTATAGATGGCAATCATTTGAAGCCGTCTATACTGCGTAAACTGCTGAGAAAAATGACAAATGTTGAAACATTGGAACTCAACGATACTGAGTTGTGTGATTCCTCGATACCGGTGCTAAAGAATTTGCCAGGCTTGAAATCACTTTCGTTAAATGAGAATTGTGAATTAACAGGTGAGTGGGGGTGGGGTGGGCAGTAACTTTCAAAAGAATGCAATGATCTAATGCTTTTAATTCTACAGGGAAATACATAAAGGAGCTGAAGACCATATCAAGTTTAAGTTTAAATGGCTGTAGACGCTTGACATCTCATCATTTATTGAAAATATGCGAAAGTCTTACTGAACTCCATAACCTGGAACTGCTCGATTGTCCTCTACAGCGTACATTGGACTTCAGTGAACTGGTCAAACATTTAAGCAACCTGGAAACTTTGAAAATAAATACTTCATATTCGAAACAAAGCCAGCTGGTGGCAACGTTGCCCAAACTGAAACATTTGACATTGTTCTCGGAAATTGATATACCAGCTAGTTTCTTTGAAGAACTGGTCAAACATCAGAGCCATCAATTGGAATCTTTGTTTGTGGAGGCCAGAAATTGGATAAATTTGGAGAAAGCAACAAAAATCTCCGAGCTAAAGAAACTGAAACGTCTTTCGTGTCAAGACAATGAACTGCTCAACAATGAATGTTTGGAGAAGTTGGCAGTGCTTTCGCAGCTGGAGGAGTTAAATATTAGAAACTGTTCGAACTTTAGTGAAAGGGTTCTATTGGACCTAATTAAATCTTGTCCCAAATTGCACACTTTGGACATACGCAATTGTAAACACCTGAAAGAGTCATTTGCCAATGATCTGCTAAAGCTATTGAAGGCCGAACAAACACAATGCAGTGAAAGAAAACCGCTTTGTATTTTCGCCTGTCGTTCTGGCATTGATGCTCATTCGATTGCCAACGAAGATTTCAAATCATCGGTCGATTTGTTGAAACTCAAATTCGACTTTCAGTTCAGTGATTTGGAAGATATCATGTACGAGACGGACCACGACGACTACGATGATTATTACGATTACGAAAACGAAGATATGGACTTTTTGGGTATGCTGGACGATGATGATGATGATTATTATATGTACTTTTCGGATAACGACGATGCAGATGAGGACGAGATGGACTTTAATTTGTTACGTGAAGCGTTATACCGCAATTTTCGTTATGGAGGAGATGCCTTTTTTTAAAAGGGAATTTTCACCACAAATATATACCTAATTAATTTTAATGACATTCAGTTCTAGATATTATCTTTAAATGCCACAGAATGCTTGAAGCAGTGTTACATTGAAGGCATCGTTCATTTTTTTTATTCTTATTTGTTTGTTTGCCCATCACTCCAGGGAGAAGGAGGAGAAGGATATTACAACTACAAGACTCATCGTTGTCGTATTTAAAACGATAAAGAAATTGTTGAGATAATTTCTTTTACGTTTATTGCTTTTACGTTTTTATCTTCGTCACCATATCTATCGATGGTATACCATGTTTTTGTATTTTCATTTTTTTTTAAATAAATATCATATTATAAAATTAGTTTCAATTGTTGTGTGGATTTGATGTCAAATTTGGAGAGCGGTTAAAAGTTGGTTACAACTGGAATGACAATCGTGAATTAATATTCCAGCCGGATTTTTCCCATTCCCCATATGGATTGGATTCTTGTTTTATTGAAATTCAAATTTAAATTGCCTTATAATTTATTTCATTTCTTTATAAAAGTTTTAACATTTTCAAAAAAATAAGTGTAGGATTTTTTTAAGTTAAAAATTATTAAAGCACATTAAATTATGCAATAAAAATGCAAACAATAAATCTGACGAATGATTTAAGGTGAGAATACATAAAATGACTTTAGTCATCGGCTGACTTTTTCGGAAAAGAACAAAGGAGCAAAGGGCCAAAATCGAACTAAGTCAACCTAAAACACCATTGTTCCTCTACGAAGAAGCCAGCCGACGACTTAAGCAAGTCAGAGAAGTCTTTTATGTACTCTCATATCTAGGCCTTTATATATGACTCTAAGGCTGGAAATACATAAAGAGCATATTTGACTGGCTTAAGTCATCGGCTGGCTTCTTCGGAAATGAACAAAGGAGCCTTGGCCCAAAATCGAACTAAGTCAACCTAAAACTCCTTTATTCATCTACGAAGAAGCCAGCCGGTGACTTAAGCCAACGAAATATGCTCTTTATGTATTTCCAGCCTAAGTCACAATTTAATTTTAAAAGATGTTTCTATTTAAAAAAATTTTCCACATGGAAAATTTCCATAGCAATATTTTATTGTCCTAATTATACATAGTACCATGGTACAATGAAGAGAAGGTAGGTTAACTTTGAAAAAATTGCAAGTATAGAGGTCTACCTGTTTGGCTTGTAATGTCAGAATTACTATCAAAACAATAAAAAAGCAAACAACTTGTTGCGTTGATTTTGAATAAATAATTTAAAACCGCGGAAACTGAATGAATGGTCAAAATTTCTTTTCAATGTCATGTTCTATATATCTCTTATGGGTTATTTCGCGACAAAAACTGCAGATTTTGTCGATGCATTCGTTGCAATAAGCTTTTTGAAAACACCCGAATTTGAATATTTTCTGAACAATTTTTTATTATTGAAAAGAAGACACACACATAAGCAAATGAAGTTGACATATTAAGCCAGAAAAATAAAAAAAAATTAAATCATATGGTAGTTCTGCCCTACCTTGAATTAAGTGATAGATGATGTAGTTACATATACAACACGATACGTTAACATACATACGTCGTCACTAAACACTAACAAATCAACCATAAACGGAAATTCGAAGTCAGTGCGATAAATGTGTCCAGCTGATTTGGTTTTTCCTTATGTCTTATTCGTAAACTCGGCGTTATGCATTACACTCATTCGTAAACAACGAGGTCTTTTGTTATTTTTTGGCAAACATTCCTTTTTGCGCTTTCTTATTTGTTTCGTTGGGGACGTATTTTATTTTGGTCGCAAGTACGCGCGCTGCCCTTTTGGAATTGGACACAATTGGATATATTGGAGAAACAGTGAGTAAATTCCCAAAATTAATTTAATCCAATTGGGTGGGACTTGGTTGGTATAAGAGTCTTATAGGTCAGGGCTCCCCGGCGTCTGTTATTGTCGATAATTGTCAGAAATGCTTACATCTAGCCACATTCAGATCTTGCTATGTCGGATGCATCGACAATTGCGAACTTGGGCTTTAATCTAAACGAACGCATACCTCGGGACTATACCCAGGAGATGATTCTCAACTAATGCTCGGTTTTGCGGCTAACTAACTAACTAATTCCACTTTGAACCGGAAAATATGGAAAGTGGAGCCTTTGTTGGGCGCTCACGAATGTGAAGGTATGAAATACTGGAACTGTAAGAAGATGGGTGAAAATTCCCCCTATTGCCAAAAAGATCAACCTCTTCCTATCGCAATCGAATAGTCTCACAAATGGCGATGTACCCTGCAAGCTATCATAGTTCAATGAGAAGAGACTGCCAAAAAGAAAACATGTCTTCGAGGGTACTACGTGGGGGGACTACGCTCGAATCAACCCATGGCTGCAGACGCATGGACACAGCTGCTGGGTCAATGAACTGTCAACCAATTTCGGAATTGAAAATGTTGAATGAAAATTTATTGAAATTTGTAATCATTTTCGAAAAATGCTCCGATTGGCATCGTATAAAAATCTTTTTATTAAAAAAAAAGAAAATATTTTAAAAATGATGTCAGTGTTCCCAAAATATGATGCATCTACCTATATTCTTCTACCATTGATCCACCTAAAAGTTTTAATCATTTATTTTATCTTCTGCGCCGAAATATTGCCGCCGTCGACGGAGTTGAGAGCGCGCCGCCACCTTTTGGTATACATTTGATAAGCCGACGCCGTAATAACTGTTCTCCTTCGTTGTCTTTTCGGGGCTGATGTAAAAACGCCCAAAAATTAAAAAAATGTTCCAAGGATTGTTTTTTTTTTTTTTTTCAGTCGTCTCTCAACTCTCGTTGACTTTAGGCTACGTGCGCGCCGTTTCGCTTTCTTTTTTATGCGTTTTGTTTGTTTTGCTTTGAACACAAATGCACACATTCCTTCCATCTAACCAATAACACAAACATTATTTTATTTGGTGATTTTGCTGAAATTTAATATTCCTAATTTCAACAGAATATACAATTTTCTGCGAAAATGGGTGATGAGGAGCCGCCTCCTCGTTTAGACCCGAGGAAAAGAATTGAGCTTTTTAGCAACCCTGGAAGCAAGAAGTTTAAAAATAATCAGCCTTCTATGCAAAATAAAATGCCGCAGTGCTCTGCAAAAACAACACCAGCGAAAGAAAACACCACTCTCACACCATATGAAAATCAATATTTTAATGATACAAAGTCCATCTCCACCAACACAACTAACAACTGTCACTCCAACAATAACAATCCCTCCAATCCATCCAATATACCAAAAAACACAAACAAAACAGATATTTACAGCTAAGATAACTATGAAAACCAAACAATTCTTTACAGCCCAACCCATCCAGGTCCATATTATGTACTTCTTACTTCTGATGAGCCCATTTGCCCTAGAAGAAAGAACTCAGAATTACATTTGTATGCCAAATTAGCCAGTGCCAACATAAATGCTCATTTTGTATCAAAGAATATTGCATATAAAACCTTCCGCCTGAGCTTCAACAATTATAACTCGGCAAATAATTTTGCTTTGGATCCAAATGTAAAATCTATTGGTTTGAATGCTTTTATCCCAGATAGATTTGTACAAAAATTTTATGTTATTAAATCCGTACCAGTAGAATTCACTGGCAAAATGATATATGATCAAATCAACAGCAGCGACAATGATTTTAAAGCTGTATCAGTATATCGTTTCAAATACAAAAATGAAAATGTTCAGTATGTGCCGTCGCAAACCATTAAAGTAGGTATTGTAGCGGACTACGTTGTAAAAGAACTTAAAATGTTCAACTCTATAGTGGAGACGGATTTATATATTCCACTTGTACGCTTATGTAAAAATTGCGGTCGTTTAGGTCATATAGCCGTAAAATGTAGAGCCAAGAAAAGATGCCTTCTTTGCGGGATAAACAATGAATGTCTCATAAACTGCACAGAGCCAAAATGTGATACATGTTTGTCGACAATTAAATGCAAAACATACTGTACTCTACCCAGATGTATACTATGCAACATGGAAGAACACAATGCCATGGACGTCAAAAAATGCAAAAGATACAGTAATGAAAAAAATATTCTGGAGGCTATGGCAATCACCAACCTTTCAAGGAAAGAATGTATCCCTAAAGTTTCAAACAATTACTTTGAAATTTTAGATGAACCAAATTATGAAAATCAATTACCCCAAATTTCTAAAACAAGCAGAAGACCAGTTACTTCCTTCAATGATGAACTCAACAGAAGGAGAACTAAAGTCAATTACAATAAAGTAGCAGCATCAATACCTCGTAGAGCACATATTACAGCTGAACAGGAAACGATTGTACCCTCTAAACCATCCTTCGAATTCTCAAATTTTTTCAAAGTTTCTGAGTATGAAAAAATATTATCCACTTTCACTCAACAAATGGCTGCCGCATTAACCAATGCCAAGTGTACAGAAGGATTACAGATCTTAGACAGTCTTTCAAATGCCTTAAAAGCACCAGCAATAGATGGACCTTCCAGTTCTAACCAAACCGAACATGATAATCTTACAGCACTACATACAAAGTTTGAATAAAAATAAAAATTATTTAGAACTTTACTTAAACAAATTTTCTGTCGATATATGCATCTTAAGCGAAATTTTTAATGCAGATGAAAATGCATCATCATCTTACGTAAACAATTATGGATTATTCTGTAAAAAAAGAATCGACAATTATGGTGGCGTTGCCATCCTGCACAAAAAAACTATTAAAATGAAAAAATTACCTTTTGCATCGAATTTAGACATCTTAATATGTCAAACTACAAACCTGTCTCAAAATTTAACGATTGTCTCAGTATACTTTCCGCATTCTGTAAAATCCAATGTTTTAAAAACTGAAGTATCAAAACTTTTAATCTTTCTAAATGGAAAATCAAATGTCATTATTGGCGGGGATTTTAATGCAAGATGTAAAGCATATGGTGACGTTTTTGACACAGTTCGAGGATCCACTGTGCAAACCTTGATGGACAGTTCGGCATTTCGTTGTGTTAATGATGGCTCTGCAACCTTTAAAAAGAATCTATTTGACAATTCTTTCGGTTCTGTGTTAGATCTTACCTTCACAAATATGTCTTCAAACTTTAATTGGAATGTAAAAAATACAAGCATAGGAGGAAGCCACCACAGACCAATCCTTATTAACATAGATAATTTTACATCAAAGCAACAGTACTTCCTAGCAAAAAAACATCTCTTCAAAAACTTATCAAATCTAAAAATTGATTCCAATATGAATGATATTCAATCGAAGCTAAAATCAACAATAAAAAATTCAACTTTTCTCATTACTGCT